TTTTTTGGGGTTTTTTTGTTTGTTTTTTTTTTTGGTGTGTCTGTGAAGGAGCATAAGAATGCTTTTACCTCAGTGTTGCTCAGAGTTTTGGTTGTGATTCAAGCATCTCAAAATATTAAAAATAATTGCAACATTATGTGCTGCCAGCATTTGCAGTACAAAACTCTGTGTCTTTCTCACACTTTATTTAAAAAAGAACATTTTGCACCTCAATTGCTAGTTGTGGTTTTGGATCAGAAAGCACTAAGGGTTTTGTTCTGTTCTGATTCCCACCCCTTCTGTCTCATTTTTCTTGTGGCTTAGAACAAAATATTAATATGACTCATCTGTCATAAGTAATTTTCATATCCTCTACCTTCTGTTTTGGTGTGTGATTAGACAAACGCTGTAGTTATGTAAAATTATTTGTGGTTTCCTTATAATGGAAGATATGAATCACAGGTACTTTAAGCAAAAAAGAGAACAATGTCAGGAGAAAAGTGAATTATAAATGAAAGCAACTTATATATATTATAATTAATAAATACTTTATAACATGCTATTTCAATTTACTATTTCTTAGTATTAAATATTACAGCTGTCATCTCTGGAACACTGTAAAAGGAAGTACTAAATGAGAAAAAAACCTGAGTTTATGGACTGTCTTACCCGAAGTGAGTCCCAACTTTGATACCAAAACATTTGCAAGGACAAATTATTTATACTTGGAAAGCTGGAATTCAAAATGGTAAATGTCAGTTCTGGTACAGTTGAGGAAATCCTGTGTCGTATGCTACTTTCAGAAAAGGGAATTATGTGTATATACTCCTGTAACTTTTCTCCAGAGCAACCTTCTATCTCACAGTAGTACTTTCTCACCAAAAAAAAACCTTAAAATTCCCTAGAAAACAGAAAAATGAATCAGTGCAGAAGTGCTACAAAGGCATTTCCAACAGTTGGCCAGATTCTTCTTTTCTCCCTCAAGTAGCAGACTGAAATATTTTACTAAGTGGATCCAGTTCAGTGCAAGCTTCATTCCATGAAAGTCATTTGCATTTGAGCTGAATACTGAATGAGCAGGACTTAAATACCTGCTTAAAATAGAAGTTCTATTTCTGTGACTACTTAAATTAACTCAGGACCATGCTGTTTCTGTGCTAAGAGAGAGAATACAGTGATTTTCTACCTTTTTGCTTTTGTCTTTCTGCACTTGAATTGCAAACACAAAATGTTGTTTTCCACGCTGAATTAATACCTGCAGATAGCAGAGTGGAAAGGAGAGAAGACTATAAGCCGCCTCACTATATTTGAAGATTGGTCCACAGAACTATACTAATCGTACTAATTGAAGATTAGTACACAGAAAATAAGTTCTCTCCTCTCCTTTCAGATACAATTTTGCACAAAATAATTCTTAAAAGCAAAGCAATGAAATAAAACTATAGCAATCAAGAAAATCGATGGTTAAATGTTCTTTTAGGAATGATTTCTATCATTCTTCTCTCATATTCCCTCCCTCCCTTCCTTCTCCAAGAAGCCTTCTTGGGATTTATTTTCTCCATAGCAAAAAAACAGTCTTGTTGCTTCAAGTTGCTTACATCATGGCTTGTACTTGGGATTTCTCCAATCTATATACCAGGATCTGCACGTGACTGAATAACACAGGAAAGTCAGCAATTGTACCAGTAGGAAATCTTTCAGGATATTTTTTCAAGTTGAAAGAAATTATCTCACCATTACAGATTATCAGTTCTGAAAGTAGTGAAGTGGAGGAATGCACATCAAGTGATTGGTCTCAGAACACAAAGAGCTGGATAATAATAATCATAATCCATAGTAGTAGTAGTAGTAGTAGTAGTAGTAGTTGAATGTTAAAGAAAGCATCTCAAAGTGGCCAGGAGTTCCCCTAAGAAAAATCAGTGGAAGCCTATTGAATGATCTACTGGAACTGGAATTTATCTTTTTATTTGTTACATTGTGTAACAAAACCAAACTCCCAGCTGAGGGCATCCTTGGAGCAGACAAGGCAGGCAGGGGTAGCAGGGGTGGTGTGGAATGGGGAAAGATGTGAGAGTGGGGATTGAGGGCTTCTGTGTGAAGAAGTTTAAAGGAGACAGGGCACTTTTTCTCGTGAAGCTGCTTCCCCTCCTTGTGACCCCTTCTTTTACTTAATTTTTCTCCTCCTCAGAGGGAGGACACCCAGAGACTTTCCCTTTACTTCCATTGTTTCCAACATCACCATCTATACACTTTTCTTTTCTTTTCTTTCTTGATTGTCAAGTAGGGGTCAGTCCTGGTTTGGACAGACAAGAACTAGGCCAGGACCAGGGCAAAAAGGCAGAGAAATCCTGCTGCAGATAAAAGGACAGATGTGACTGCTGCTGTACTGGGGCCCTCTGGTACACACTGGCATTCCTTTACCCTCTCCCTAATCCCACAAAGGCAGTAACACCAGCATGGATGGTACAAACAAGAGGCAGGAATGAGCTGTTTGGCTGAAATGCCTAATCCCTCTCCCACCAGTCACAGGCAAAGTAGCTGCCATCCCCCTTTCAGTGTGGCAGGTTTCCATTTTGCTAAGTATACAAAGCTACTTCTGACTTGGTGACTTCCCCTCATTCACTCAAGAACCTGAGGCAAAGCCCCAGCCTTGCATACCTGAAAGTTGCAGAGAAGTTTGTATACCAAGCTGAACTGCAGAGCACAGAGGTGTCTCTAAAAGTTCTGATAGGGTGTAGATGTGTTCTGAATTACTGCCTCATCCTTTGAAGCAGAAGGCCTGTTTAGAAGGATAAACAAGGAGAACCTACTCTTCAGAAAACTTGGAAGCAAATGACGAGAAAGTTCTGCACAACACATTGGCAGTTTCTGCTCTTCAGGCTTTTTTAGAGTCCTCTCAGAAAGGTGGCAAATGAGCATTTCCTTGTACAGCTCAAATGAATTGGATGAAATAAATTGCAAATAATACATGCTACTTAGGCATTATCTGCTGTTAGTTCCCCAGATGATCACATATCTCCTAAACTGCACCCCAAAGTCATCAGGGATCTGCTTGCAAGTGAGGGGTGGAGTGAGGAGAAAATCAACACAGATTATCTATAAAAGCAAGGGTCGATTGGAGACCAGATTGGTGTTGCCAGAAAACTTAGCCTGTTACCATTAAAGAGATTTTTTAAAATAAATTTTACACTAGAGGTCAGAAAGCTTTGTCATGATTAATCTAATCCATAGTCTAAGACAAAAGGCCTGAAAAGCAGCCAGTTTCTGTCTGAAAGGGGTTTGGACTTAAAGGGGAAGGTGCCTACTGGCTGCTATGATGCAGCAGCCCTCAGAGCCTGTGCTGGGACTAGGTGGGCAGCTGGAGTCAGATGAAGAGAGAAACAGATTCCCGACAGCAATTAGAAATTCAGGGGCTGGGTGGAAACAGTGTTACATGGAGGTACCAGGGCTGATGGAGATCTCCTTTCTGGCAGAAAACTCTCTGCTGTCTAGAAAATTCAAGCCTCTTGTGTTAAAATTCATTGTTCTGAGAGTAATTTAACTAGTTCTTTTGTCAGATTTGAGAGACTTTACAATAGGCCTGCTGTGGCATTCAGATTAAACAGGGTAGTGGGCACATTTCAAACAGACTTGAATAAATCTGAGGTAAAACAGTCAAGCAGGTTTCCATTGGGAACTCAGTACTCCTCCTTTTCCAAATGCTTCCGGCCCCTCATGGTCTCTTGGTGGCCGGTTTGCATGGTCTCTTGGTGGCCAGGCTGCCTGGGGTCCACTGGCTGTTGGGGTACAGGGCAGTGCTGCAGCACAGCCCTGCAGAGGTCAGGAGCTACTGATCTTGAATTTGCATTTTGCCCTGGCTGATAAATGCTTAAAGTAAATTGAGAGATACCTTTGGGTGTCTTTGGCTCCTTGGAGTTACTCTGGTTGGTGGGAAACCAGTGGCTCTGGAGAGAAAAACACAGGCAGGGAAGATGTAAGCCAAGTACCTCAATTTTCAACCACAAAGCAAATCAGCACATGAAAAGCGATCACCCTGCTTTTCCATGAGCTGGATTGCTGGAGCCCATGGCTCCCTGTGGGACAGATGCTGAGCAGCAAGTGCAGTGCATGGTGAGCAGCTGAGGGCAGGGGCTATGCAGAGGTTCAGGGCCCTCCCCAGCTCTGATCCAGCACAGCACTCACACATATGCTCATTCCAGCTGGAGCACACTCATCCAGAATTCTCCATGTACAACTGAACCATAAACAGCTCGATGGCAGCTGAACCCAACAAATCACAGGTATTCTTCCCAGTCATGTCAGTGGGATTTGTGTCAGGCAAAGCACAGAGGACTTGGTAGCAGCTGTGTGAGAACGATCAGAATATAAAATGGAAAAGCAGATTTTATTTTATATAGAACACTAGCATTGTCTGTGGCTCCCCTTGTTAGTAACCTCACATTATGAGTTCAGTAATGCTTGGGACTTTGGTAGTTTCCAAGCATAATGCCTCTTGGGAACTAATGATTTTATTAATGCATTGCATGAAAGGGTTTATATGTACATTTTCATGGGCACGACACACATGGAGAAATATAAGAGTAGGTAAAAGTTTTTCATCTGTATTTCAGACTGATAATTTTATACCTTGTAATCTGAAAAAGTTATGCAGTGTCTCTGTAGAAGGGTGGGAACAATGCTCAAGGTACATTTGAAATCCAAACCCATATTTTTATTTACGGCATAATTATTACAGGATTGCCAACAAAAACAACAAACACTAGGATTTTTGGTCCATAGTCAAACTGCTACATCAGTTTTCACAAGCACTGAATAAGTAAAAAGGCTACTCAGTGAATTAGTTGGCCAGTTTTCATATTTCTGAAGAGTAGACCTTGAATAAGAAGCTGAAATAGGGAATTAAAAGACCAGGTTAAGCCACTATGTTTGAAAATTTTGACTAATGGTTCTTGATGTTTCTGGCGGGGTAAAAAAAGGATATTATCCTCATACATTTCTTAAAAGCTTTATTTTTCCCCTAGGACGAACCTAAAATTGACACATTAACACTGGGCCTAACACAATCAGGAAATCTGTGTCTCTTAGTGTGAAAAGCAACCAACCTGTCCATCTTCTGCCCTGTCCCAAAACCTCTATGTAAGTAAGCTTTTGTAATGTAAGCTTTGCAATCCAAAGCAAGTTCTATGTAATGCCAAAAGCAAAGCACAACAGTTTAAAATGTTGACAACTTAAGACAACGTTGACATTTTAAGACAACTTTGAAGTTGTCTTAAAGCCATCACCTACACAGGATTTGATAAGTTATTCAAGTATTTGCTATACACCAAAGCTTTTGAATTTTGAGTGGAAAATTATACGGTACATAAATTTTGGTGATCATCTTCAGCAGCACTTTTTATCATAGACAAAGAAATCTACCCTTTCAGTCATTCTCCATTCTCCATTTCAGTTGTTTGATAGGAGAGAACATGTATAGCATTTGACATATTTGTGTTTCTGTAAAGAAGCTTGGTTTTATCTTGGAAGTAGAGTGAGCCACTCTGCTGATGTGCTTTTGTTCCCCAAAATGCATATGTACATGTGTCCACTTCCAGATGTATGTACATGCTAAAATGTACAGCAGTAACATTCATTGAGAATTCCATACTTAATACAATGTTTTGTTTAGCTCAGTAATGAGAAGAATATGTTAAACATCATTCCGAGCCTTAATGGAAAAATTTCTGATGAGACATTAGCTCATACTGTCCACGGTCATCTTATGCCTATGAATATTGTTTGTTATCAAGTGTGACTTCTGGAAGAAAAAATGCATTATTGCTTAACAAGTTGCATTACAGTAGTGTCCTGCACTGTTTTGGTTTCTAGAAAGCTAATGAATTGAAAGAATCCTCATGGTAATAATTAATCATGGTAATCCCTTAGACTTTCTGGACATCTTTTAAGGAGGCTGAGTGCCACATTCAGTAGCTTTTCTCGCTTGCGGAGAAGTCATATGCAATTTGTCTGAGATGAAAAACCAGCAGAGTCACACAAACATGGGAACCCACTGGAGAGCTCTGAACTACGAACCCAGTGGGGAGAACCGGTGCAGTGACAGAATTTTAGGATCTCTCACCATTCCATGGATCTCCATGGCTGAGGCTGTCCCTGGTAACTGTTTTCACTCAGCATCAGCTGCTGTGATCAGCTGCTAGAAAAGTCTAACAAGAGAAAAAAGAAGGAACAAAAAGAGAAAAAAATGCTCAAGACTCTAGCTCAGAAACTACTGACAAAGAATAAAACACTTCTCCATTTTTACTTTCTCCCAGAGCATCCATAAAGTTTTAGAGCCCATCCACTTAAGAAAACATCCATCCATGAATGGCAGTGGACTTTGATAATTCAGCTGTGAAGTTTCTGTAGCAGTTGGTGAAAAGACTGTAACATCACTGCTCTGTTCATTAGTCATTTCTTCAAACCTTTCAATAAATATCTTCTGGTGTTACATAATTTAGATCACTTTTAAAAAGTATTGAGTTTTCAGTGGTTTAGAGTCCTTTATTATAACAGGTGAAACAGTAATATAAGCTATTAAATACAGCTGCTAGACAAAAAAAAAAGCAACAGTTAAGCTAAGCATTACAAATTAGCACCCACTACTTCTCAAGAGTGGCAAAATTGCTTTGAGAAAAGCACTGTCCTCAACAATTCACAGATATCAAGGAACAGAGAATTAAGGGGAACACAAACTTAAAAAGAGGTTGAAAGTTCTGGAAAATATTGTTATTTCCTTTTTTTCTTTTAATCTGTTCCAGTGAATGGAGAAGAATTTCAGCAAAACATTCAGATCTGGATAGAAATATACCTCAAATGGAAAGGAAACAAAGCCCTCTATCTGTAGCAAGAATACAGAAAATTTTCAGACTTGATCATCAGCTGGCAGATAGATCTGAAAGGCATTGGGGTCAAATAGAAGTCCTGAGCTGCTACCAAAATGAAGTCTAATTATCTCAGCTGAAACTGGGGCTTAGCTGTTGGGTTTCCTGTAACTAAATCTTGTCACAAACAGCTCTGTGAAGTTTTTCCTCCAATAATAAAATAAAATACAGCAAAAATAAGATAAATACAACAGACAATGAATATGAGTATATAGTTCCCAAATAAGGAGGGGAGCAGATGTTAGAGAAAATTCATGAAGATATCAAAATAGTTCTTGTCAGTTCTAAATGGTTAACATGACAGTTCTTTAAAAATAAACAATCAAACATCTGAAAGTAATTGCTAGACTAAGGATTTTATTTTATTTAAGCAATAAGGTATTTTAAAAATATACTTAGAATGTCAAGCTTGCTTCAAATTGCTTTGGTTTTCTATACAGTGTTGTGGTAGTCACTACCCACCCAAAAGTGGTATTTTAATAATATTTTTTAATTGAAAGACAATAATTGAAACAAAGGAAGCAAAACTATTCAAAAGGGTTACCAGAATGCTTGACTTCAGACACTTTCTAATCTGATCAGGAAGTAAAATGAAAAAAAAAAAACCAAACCACTGTACTGAATTCAGAGGCACTGTGTCAGATTATAAAGTTATGCAATTTTATGTGGATTCACTGAGGTCGTATCTCAAAATCCAAAGCAAACCTAAGTGACTGAAATAATGTTACAGTTTATATAGTCTGATATTTTTTCTGTCTATCCTTTTTCCTGTTGAACTGCCTTTTATGCCTCTCAGTGTATAAACCTCTTGAACATAAGCATCTCCTCTGTCCACAGTTTCCTCCTCATTTTCTCATGCTTTATGTGCCTCCATTCAATCCCTGCTTATCTGACAGTAAGGATCAGTTTACTCGTCTGCCTTTCCCTGTCTGACTTGGGGAGCTGGAAATACTTGGAAGACTTTTAGTGGAACCTAAACCTCAAATTACTCAAGTATTTATGGAAATGTTACCTTATATTTCCAGGACCATTTATTTTAAATAGGAGTCAGTTGCTGGACTTCTTCACTCACTCATGAAAACATAGCTTCAGACTCCTCACAGCAGCTTTGGATGGGAGGAAATTAAAGGAGAATTACAAAAGCAAAATCTTTTCCAAACATAGCAGTGTTATTCAATAGCTTAGAAATTTACCTGTTGGTGAATGTGGTTTCTTTAATCCAGGCATTATTGTGAATGAACACAATGGTTACTTTTGTCTGTGTTTTGAAGAAAAGGGGCTTGTTTAGGGTGTTAGTAGTGATAATTGACACAAAAAACTCCAGTACAGAAGAACACATAAAAAGAACAGGATGAACTTTCCTCCACGAATGATTAGAATTGGGGATGTTGTATAGAAACCTCCTGCTTGCTGTTAGTAATGATGGTGATCAGTTTATGATCCCAGGCTGTGCAGAGCAGAGATCTGAGGAACCTGCTGCTCACTAAATTCTCTGCTTCCAAGCCCCCCTATGCCCCAGACCAACTCACGTGAAAAGAACTTGAAGTAAGTAGGCAAGAGATTTTTAGTCTGGTAACAAGAAGTTTGTGGAAGACTGGAACAATGTGCTTCTCTGATTTGGGAAACAGTTATACCAAACAATAAATGTTCTTATAGGTTTTGCATTATGCCTAAATCCTCCTGTTTATATGCTAAAGCATATGGTTTATTAACCACTAACTCATTAACAGTAACATATAGAGCATACAGCTGCCATCTTCACTTTACCAATGTTTTCCATACATTTTCCACAGCTTTCACATTCAGGAAAAAGTAACACTAAGTGAAAAGTTTTCTTTCAAAAGCCTCATTAACATAATGTACCAATGAAATGATTCCTTGTGAACTCAGTTTCTTTTGGAAACACCAATGTATTTTCTATGCAGAAGTCTCTCAGGAAATGGTTCATTTTAAGACAGTTTTCTAGATCCTAAAGAGTTCAGACACAACTCTATTAATGCCTTTGCCTTGTAAAGTTCAAGGAAGGCTACCACAGCGTGAAATTAAATTTGAAATACTTTAAATATTTGAATAGTCAGAATAATCACCCATCTAATACTAAGAGTTCACCTAAAACATTTGTTATATAATTCAACCTTCTATGTAGTTTCAAAGGAATTTTATGTAGCTGTCTGGTTTATTTAAATAACTTATTAGGCTCTCCTGTTTTAATTGGCAAAGTTACGCAAATAGCAACAAATATTTCAGTTCACAGTAGTCTTCCACAGGAACAAGAATGGTTGAGGTCTAAAGGCACCTCTGGAAGTTACCTTGTCCGGTCCCCCTGCTCAGGCAGGGACACCTAGACTGATTGCCCAGGACCATGTCCAGAAAACTTTTGAATTATTTCCCATGATGAGACTCCACAACTTCCCTGGCAACCGATGCCAGTGTTCAGTCACCCTCACTTTTCTACTCTCTCTACTCTCACAATTTCTACTTTATACATCTCAACTGTCCTTTGTACATGTTCTCTGCAACAGTCTAGCTCCTCATTTACAAGGGTGGATGAATGTTGAAGCACAAGGCTGAAATCAGGGATATTTCATTTAAGAAGGCAGTGCAGTTCTTTGCTGAATGTATTTTGGACCATTTAGTCGGCAGTCACCTGTATGTTCCTGTCTTAATGCAAGATGGTGTAAATGGAGTCAGCTGTGCAGCAGTAAGGATTCGGGACACAACTTGGGAATATGCCAGTTGATGGCAAAGCTAAGACTTTCTATAGAATATTTTCTGCTTTGGGTGCAAACAGCATGTTTCATGCTACTTTGCTTGCATTACAGCCATTTTTAAGCAATCCACAGAATGGAGACTAAGTATTTTGAATGTGCAAAAGGTCTGGTGTGTGCTCAGGTCCCCCTTCCTGTGCAGTGTTTGTGAAGCTGTCCCTTGATAAATGACAAACTGAAAAGACAAAGAAAACGCAACAGCTTGTAGCCTCTACTGACAGTGTAAATAGAAATTTGAGTTTGGCAGACAAAGTTCACAGTTTGCAGTGAAAGGTCATAAGGATTTCAAGCATTTTTGGTATTTTGTCTCTGCTGTCTGCTCAATATCAAGCAAATAAAAAAACCCTGATAGACAGCTTCCAAATCTGTATACTTGGCATCCCTGCTCAGCCTGAAGGAACATAGGAAGTTCTGTCTTTGGCATTCTGCAATTACTTTAGGACACGCCATGCTAACAAAGCTTTAACACTTACTCGGTCACAACTTTTGATGTGATGTTTGGTAAGATAAAAGGCTTACCCAGCTCAGGTAAGCCCAGTGGTCTGCAGTTTTTCTGCTAAAAAATTAGCATGATGAGGAAGAGTTATATGTTAACTCTCAACAGGATATGTTTGTTTTTTCCCAACCATTGTATACATTAAAATACATCAAAAACTTTTATGAGAAATCTCCTACAATCTGCAGTTGAACCAAATGAGACTTGGAGATGTCTGACTTTTTATTATTATATTAAATTTTGCCTGCAGTGAGTTCATTCCCTCTTTTGGATATTATTAACATCTCTTTTAGGAAAGGTTTAGCTCTGGCCTCAAAAACACTGACAATGATATTTTTATTTCCCAAACTCAATTAAATATATACCAAGTGGAGATTGTTTTCCTGGAGGTATGTAATCTCAGAAATCTAAAGAAAAGTTATATTACCTATGTACCTCAGATGTGACTGCAACCGCTGCTTTCTGTAAAATCACTACTTGCTGTGGTCAGGACTGTGCTATGGAAATGGAAAAAAATATCTTCTGTTTTAATCTTGTCTTTGGGTGCATCTCTCCTGGACTCAGAATATTCAAAGATATCTTAGGAGTGTTATTGGGATTAAATAGGACAGTGGGTGAGCCAGGTGTTGGCTGAATTTTTATTTTTTTTTTCGCAAAGTGTATCCTTTTAATCTTCCAAGTAAGTTTTTTCTTTGTGTTCCTAACTTCACAACCTGTGGCATATCTCAGCATGATCATACAGGAGGAGATTGTTGTTCACACTGTGAGTGCCAAACACCCAAGCCCACTTTGTGTCTACAGGTGCTGAACATGCCTGGAGGGGTTTTCCCTGTTCCACCCACAGGCATGAGGGATCTATTTCCAAACTCAGATGTTCACATACTTTGCACCCCTTGTCCTTCAAGCTTGGGCAGAATACCCATTCCAGCTACTGTGCAACTTATTCCTTCATATCCTTCTTGAGGCACGTATTTCTATACCTTGAGATACTAATTTCTTTACAGTACCTAAAACCTGATGTCCTTTGTGCCTGGCTCAGAAGTTTTGTTACCCACAAGAGTAACAGTGGTTGTGAAAAGCAGAAGATTTAAGATCTTTCCAGACAGTCCTCCTTTGACTTCCTTCTTTTGATTTCCTCTCCCCTCTCACTTTTTACCTGGATATGGACAATTTTTCTCTGAGATTCAGTAGTGCTGAATGGAGCAGAAAAAATGCCTGAATGTAGGTGTTACCTCCTTCTACCATGGCCAGATGTGGAACACATACACCATTTCATGTTGTGATTAAACTCAGCCAGGAATGGATATGGCCCCTAAATGGAAGTTGTAATGGATAGGAACTGCAGACACACTCAAACTTTGTTCTCTTTTCCCCCTAAATCTAGAATGGTTAAGATCAAAGGGCTGATGCTTACCATTTTCTATTCACCAGCAGAAAAATCTGCAGATTTTGCTATGCTCAGAGCAAAGCACATTCCAACATGACACATTTCCATAATAGCTAGAAAACAAAGCCTTTTGACAAGTGAGAGAGAGTCTAGAAAGTTAAACACAGTCTAAAAGACCGGAAGGCAGAAACGATTAAAAGGAAAGGTTTGTTAATGCTTAGTTTATATAATATTTGCCCTCGCCAACACAAGGAATACAGTGCTTGTAATGAGCTCTCTGTAGGTGATAAAAGTACCTGAAAGGAAGGCAGACTCTCCTCATTCAAAGGAAAACACTGTGTCTTAAAATATGACTTTACCATTACCAGAAAAAAATATCTTTCATTTATCACAACACTGAAGACGTTGTAACACTGCTGTGCATCAGCCAACACGGTCCACAGCATCTATATAAAGGACAGTTATGTGAGCATCTTTTTATTATTTTGCTTTTCTTCTTTGAAACACAAGAGGAGCATTAGTCCTGTGTCTGTGCGGAGCGGGTGGCTCACGCCACCTGCAGGGCAGCTTCAGTACCGAGACGTGTCTGCTCCCGAGGAGCGCCCGTGAAAACCCAATGCCGTTTCCATCCTGATCAAAAATTGCTCCAACAGACATTTGAACTGGCTGTAGCACCTGTCAGTATTTAAATACATATACATCTATAAGAAACATTTGATCTTCAGATGCTACACCGTTTGGCATTCAGTTTGCTTGATTTTATAAATATAATTTATAAATATTTTTAAAACCCCATTTTTTATCATGGTTACAGATAAGTTTACAAAGACATGTATTTCTCCTTTGTTATTGCTACAGATCAGTTACGGTGACTGTATCTGGAGTTAGAAAAATTATACAAGATGGGTTTTAAATGCCAAACCCATTCTGTCTACTAAAGACTGCAGTAAGGAGTCTAATAACCCCAAAGTTTACAAAGCTGCAATTGCTTATAAGAGTTGACCATCCCTGAACTGCCCTGTGCAGTGTTTGCATTAAGCCAAGATGAATTCCAGAGTGCCGCTTTGGTGCTAAAGAGGAAAATGCCTTGGATTATAGCTGTAGAAATAGTACCCTTTTCTTAGGACAAGTACTTGTTTCCTTAGGGCTAACACTAACACTATTGCCTTTAGAGAACTGTGCAGGTACCAGCCTTCCCAGTGCTTTCAAAGGCTCATTTCTATCACCCATTTCAGCTCTCTTTTTGCTCATTAGCACTACCTAGTTCTTTAGTCATAACAGGTCACCTCCAAAAGCAGGCCACAGCCTGGGCTGCTGAGCTTGAAGGTGGCCTTTGATGGTGGTAGGAGTCCTTCCCCCTAGAGCAAAGGGTTAATCCTCTGGGACAGCAGCCCCAGGCTGGCTTGCTTTGCCACCCTGGGAGAGAGTGGAGGTGGAGGAGCCAGAAACTGCATATGTGAAGCCATAAGGACTGCAGTACCCCTTCCCCACCCAGCCAGAGCACTGGAAACAGCCTGTGGCAGGAGGCCAGTGCATTCCCAAGACATGGCTTCCCCATGCATTTTACCCAAATCATGCCCTGTTTTGTCTTGTCTTCCTTCAGCAAACTGGGCTTTTTACAGCATGACAAGGACTTACATGATTAAAACAAAAAACTATTCCAGACCATATTACACTGTTTTGTCATTTTTAATATACTAATTTGCAGAAGGTCAGTGTGATTTTTGGTCAAGGCTTCTTTACCCTCTTCACCTCCTATTCCCTAGGACTCCTGAAGTCTCAGTGTATGCCATATTGGAAAGTTGACAGTAAAGAGGGCTCCCTTCCTGTTTGTCAGGAGATAAATTAGCTACAAACATGAAGCACTGGTTCTGTTCAGCCATGATATCCCAATTTTACACATGGACACTGCCATTGATGCAGTGGAGGATTCTTTTAAATAACACTACTCAGAAATGAGCATCAGGGCCTAAACTTTACTCCTCTCTCACAAAGTGTAGAGTTGTTGTAAAGTTTCCTTCCAGTAAGACCTGTTATCTTCTTGACAAATGTCTTTTCAGGAAACAACTCTTTTGCATCTGACAGCCTTGAAGAGAACCTGAAGAAATGTGTCTGCTCATCAAGACTGACTTGTGGTCTCTGTGTGGCTTTATCTGAAGTCAGAGGTTCAGAGACACCTGTAAACAGTCACCTGAAGGGACTGGAAACTGTGGGAAACAATGCAGTGCATAAAAGAGCTTACTGCCACTTACTACCACACTTACAGTAAATTCATTTGGGAAAAGTGTAAGCCAGTACTTCCTTAGTTTTCTTGGGGCAGCATGTTCTCCTAGGAGATGGGAACAGTATTTCACAATTATCATTTTCTAACCCACTCCCCTCCAGCACTGTTGGAAGAAAGAATATCCTATGAGAACAGTAAACATTCAGCATGTGCCTGTTTCACCATTCTGAATCAGAGCACCAGCCCCACATTCAGAGATAACAACTGTAGGAGGCTGTGTTTTATCTGCAGTAAAAACACTGTCTTTTCTGCACACTAACACTTCAAGTCATTTACAATGTGCATCCTTTGGCAGCACAGAGCTGAACAAGGTCATAGAAACGTATTTTAAAATGTCGTAATGCAAATTGGGTTTTTCTTGAGAAGCATATATGTTAAAATGACAATTACACTGTTGCATTTCTTCACAAGACAATTCAATTTAGGATTATTACTTTCAGTCAGTGAGGCATCATCACCAAGAGTGAACAAGCCTGAACTATGAGAAAGTTTAAAGCATCTTACTAATGAGGTTAATATATTTGGAAGCCCTGGATCCTCCCATGCTTTTTTTGCACTGATTTTCTGTGCTTGGACAAAGATCAAACATAATTGTGTAGCCAGCACACAAATATACATGATCACTTTGGTGAAATTATAAAAAAGGCTAACTTGTCCATTTGATATCATTTGGCAAAATAATGATGTATTTAAATGGGTTTAAGTACCAAAAACATATGTATCCATTTACATTTAAACTTTTTTCCTCCCCAATTTACAAAATAATGCTTTTGTTAGAGAATAAAATTCAACGAGCTTCACATGTAACTGGTGAAATTCTGTAACTCAATTATTTCTCCATCACAATGGGATGAGAAGCTTCAGCACACAAATAATGTAGCAGACTTATAGAGCTGATTGCAGCACTAACACTAGTCTGCAGAACTCCCAAGCAGGCCAACGAGGAGTAGCCTTTTCCACAGGTATGAAGTGGGTTTGCTGGTGGCATCAGCTAATCCATGGTGAAGGATATGAGTAGAACATTTCCAGCTCTCCTTCCAGCTAAATCAAGAAATCTTTCAAGTATGATATGTTGATTTCATGAGTGTTTAAAGAAAGCTTCTGCAGGCAGTGGGATCCACATGCATGTTTTCTTGGGAGTTCCTTGTAAAACACTAGTCAAGTCTGAATATAAGTATGTATTTTTAATATGACAGATTTACATTACAGGTTCTTTCCTAATTCTCCTAGTGCCTGTAGGTCTGTACACCAAGAGAGACATCCAAAATCTGCTTTCATTTAATCAAATGAGATCTTTGTTGCCAGTTGAAAAAAAGGTCAGATATATGAAATAATGTCTGTTCTCATTACATTTCCAGCCCAGTTTCCAGGAGGACTTTGGGATAATTTTGAATAGATGAAAAGAATGACAAGAAAAACATTTCCTTAAAAGAAAATTATTAAAGGCAAGCAACACTCCCACTTATCTTCCAACTCTTCCATCTTTGGAAAATTTCTTTTTAGCTCAGAGGGGCTAGGCTAGTGAAGCTGTTCATCTGGGACATCCCATTAAATGTCATAACTAGCAAGATAAGTTGCAGTAAAATGGACTCAGTAACCATCACTGTTGTCCACTTCAGACTAGATACATGAACCACACTGATAATGTTTACAGCAGAATACCAATATCAATAAATTAGGCACATGCAAAACCTGGGACTCAGTGATATTGGTTTTTCTCCTTAAATGGGAGTTACCTCCACTGCAGTCAAAATGCTTCTATAACTGAGTACAGAATCTGGGCCAGTAGTGGATACCTGTTTACTTAGTTGCACAATAACTGGCCAGGGTTTGGGTATATTTAAGCTAACACAAACCAGAGTGCTTCTAATTTTACTGCCTGAAAATGGTAATTTCATAGATCTAAACTGACATTTTTTCCTTGCCAAAATATTTTACACTGGCACTTACTGTTGAAAAGACTATTTTTTTTTCTACTGCCAAGAATGGAGTAAAAGTCAACCAAATTGTTCAGTTCTTAATTGAGCAAAATTCTCATTGTAGTTTTTCTTGATTATGAAAAACGGGCTACAGTCTACTGCATGGATAACTGTCTGGGTATGTACAAGTTGAGATCAATTTAAAAATATTTAACAACTAGCAAATTTTATGCAGGTTACAGTTCTCATTGTAATTAATGGTGTTACCTACTTATGCCAAACTGCTTGTCTGCACAAGTGACCAGTACTCCAACTCCTGAATTTCACAAGCTTCTAATGTTCTAATGTTGCTAATTGTTACATGGAAGTAATTAATTTAATTACTTCAGAAAAATCTATTCCAGATCATGTAGTGGCCCGAATTACTGAACTCTAGGAAATATACTTTTTACTTTACAAAATACATATTCACCAGTATAACCAATGCACAGGACCTGGTGGGACACAACTTTCTCGAAGTTACAGTCTCTATGGCATGTATTTTTCCATCATGCTGTTCAGATTTCTGCATTTTATCTGTGTCACAGATCCTCCCAAGGAGAACTACTAGACCTTCATAATCAGATCAGGAGGTTTCATAAAGTATTAAACTTCAGCAATCATTTTTTTGCCTGAGGCAGACAAGGGAAAACTAGCCAGGAAATTCTTCAACAATATTGTGTTAATTTGCATTTACAAATGGAAAATAAGTAGGTTTTTCGTCTCTTCCATAACAGTTATCACTGGGCTATGAATGCCACAGCAGTGTTGTATGGTCACAAAACACTGATGACTGCAAGTGCAGGAAAACACAAATCTGGATATCTTGTCATGGCTTAGTCCTCCGAACACAAGTTCATTTCAGGTGTCACATTTAATCAAGATGAGGACTTCATTCCAAACCAAAGACATAATAGCGTGTAATCTTTATTACAGTACCCAAAAAAGTAAATAATTTTCAATAGACCACTGTAAGAGACTGATTTGAGGAATAAATATTAAGCACAAGAAAGGATAAAACAAGATATAGCTATTAGTCATAGAGAGAAGACAGAGAAGTAAGAAGGAATTCAAGAAAACAAGAAGCAGGAGTAGAATTTAGCAACAGTTCTCAAAGGTGATTTATGAGATTTGTACACATATTAGGAGATAATCCAGTCTAGAAGCTGAATAGGCAAAACCCCCAAAACTGAAAAAAAAAACAAACAACAAAAACAATTTGAGGGTTTTTTGCAATTTCTTAGTGATTTTAATTACTGGTACTCCCTTTTAGGTTGAAAAGGAGTGTGATAATTTATTTCTATAGATACTATTCAAAATGAATCCATTTATAGGCAATGACATTGTCATGTGGCAGCAGGTTGTACATTCTGCCCTCTGTTTCTTAAAAGAAGAGATGAAAACTCTTTGTAAGTTTGCCTTACTTCCCCTCTCTGCATGTTACTTTCAAAAATCTGTATTGAGTACAGTATCTGATGAAAGAGCAAACATGAATGCCATAAACTCCCAGAGATTGTAAAATCTTTTGGATTTTTGTCCAGTACAATCACTGCTGATTTATTATTAAAGCTTAAGTCAGTGATGATGGAAGAAAGTGGATTACCTCCCAATTCCAAGCAGAGAGCTGTTAAATCTCTGGTATCTCAATTAATTCCTTCACACATTCCCCTCCATTCCAGACCAAGTTCTCCTCCAGGTGTTTCTTCCTTTGCCTGCCATGAAGCTGCTGTGCTCAGTGTGAAACAATTATGTCAGCACAAGCTACTCATATAGATGCAGAAATACCAGCAAAGCTGACTTGGAGTTTTGATTTATTTATTTGAATTCTCACTGATTGTTTCATTTGTGTGCATATGCTCAGGTGTGTATACTTGGGCTGTCCCAGCACTCTCCCAGCACCTTGCTCAGGGCTGCTGTTTTGGCTGCTTTTCAGCTACGAGTAGCTTGTCATTTAGTGTTTCAGCAGCAAAGTGCTCCTGCTTTAATCACAGCCCAAACTGCACCTCATATCCAATGCTGGCACTTGTCCACATGTCTCACAAAGCTGCAAACACACCTTTGGAAACATTAGCCCTTGGGTGACTTTACTAATACAAACTGTGAGTACAGTCCTCTAAGGAGCTCATTCCTGCAGGATCAAATCAGCCTTACTATTTAATTTATTGAAAAATTTGTGACAATTTTCAAGCAATACTGTTCAAACCAAAGGAAAAAACCCTCTCACTCTGATCCTGTGGGCTATAATTATATACTCCAGAATATCTCTTTCATTAGCATAGTTACCACAAAGAAGATCAGAAGTTTTTCTGTTAAGAACACATTATTTCTGCTCACATTTGAAAATCTGAGTATGTTTCTTGACTAAATGCAAAATTAACTTGGAATTAATGTTGGTTCCCCATCTCAGAGTCAAACAAAATGCACAAATGAAAATAAATTTTAAGCACTGCTGATAGCCATCCCGCCATATGAAACATAACTCCATTTTGCTTGCTAAAAAAATACCAGCCTAGTGGATTTATTTTTGAATTTGATTGAGCCATGGCCTGTAAGTAGCCATAAACCTTTGGTTCTGATGTTCAGCAGTGAGAATCTGGTGGACAAAGTTTAGAGGGAAGGATATGGAATAATTTAAGTGCATTGCTTTTTCTAATGCCATATTTTGTGGAATTAGTCACTGTTGATCTAACTGCATCATTCTAGGAATATCTAGCACGTGCCTTAACTACACCTTTGCACAGATACAAGAATAATTTTTACAAATGTTTATCTGCTTTTAAAAAGTCTAGATTTTTAAACAAAAAAAAAGGAGGGTGGGGCAGGTAATGAAGGCCTTAGCTGATTGACAGTACAGGATATAGAACCTTTCAGATCCTAATCCATGAGGGGGATGTTTGCATCTGGCTCCACAATGCCTGAATTAGATGCCGGTACTCCAGGCATGTGTGTAAGTGGAGTTAAGTGCCTTGGAGGGGTATTCACAAAAGCCACTGTTTGGGGAGTTGCCTAAGCCAGCCAAATAGGGAAGGCTGAAGATTGCAGTTCATCCTAAGTCCTAGCTCTGTCCTGGGTTTAAGTACCTTCTGGTGAATGAAGTACACAGGCACAAGTCCCTCCACTCTCGGCTCATAGCTCACAATCCTCTTTTGAAAGCAGGTGCCACATTTTTCTTTAAAATTCCAAGCAACCATCAGCAGCTCAAGCACAGTCTTACTTGGACTGAGGAACATTGGTCTAATTCTTCCTTTAGCAAAAGGCGCTTCTGAGGTTTGCATTCCCTCCCTCCTGGGCATGCCTGAGCCAGGAGGCTACAGGCATCAGCTCCCAAGAGGTGGGTAAGAGCTGGCACAGGTCACAGCAGACCCAAGAAACCATGGGGAGGAGGGAAATCAATGAGAGACTTCATCTGAAAACCTGGGAAGTGTCCACAGGTAAAGGGAGCCTCAGGTCCACAGCCAGCACCAAGAAAGGCTTGTGCACTGGGACCAAGATGCCTTTGAGGAGGATTTCAGTGGTCTAACAGCTCAGGCATCATCTTCTCAGGCCCTGATCAGGGGCTTGGATTTCAGTTGTGGATTGCAGTGGTTTAATTTCCCCCACCAATCCTACATTCTCCTGTGCTTCCAGCCCTAGCTCTACCTTGTAGTGCTGCAGGAAGCTGAAGAGAGGCAGGTGTTCACCCTCGATCCAGTTGAGCAGCTTGGTAGCTGCATGTTTGTCAGTCTATCCCTTCATACTGGCTGCAGCATGGATGAAACGCAAATGCTGGCTCCCAGTGCGGGTATTTTATAACTATTAGTCCCCAGAGCTGAGCACCGACCAGCTTTCCAGTCTGTGCATTTGCTAGTCTCAGTCATCATGGGTCCAAATGGCTGCACTGAACATTTCAGATTGTTTTCCTTGATTAGAGTTGAGAGACTGAAGTGAGTGACTGATAGTATTTGCTCCTCAAGGCTTGACTTTGCTTTCCTTTGGCCTCAGTCAAAGGAAGGTGACAGATGTGGTAATATCAAGTCCTTAAACCATAGGACATTGGATTGCATATAGGAAATTAATTCCACCTCATGACATTTTTGGAGTTCAAATGACTGTATCTTTCATAACTTTCATAGAATAAGTGCATGTGAGTGGAATGGGGAGGGTCTTTCCTCTGTGTGTGTGCGTGTGCACGTGTGTGTGTGTGTGCTTCAGAGGTTTTTTTTTTCCTTTGCTGTGCTTTTGAGAGGCGTGGCAAACTCTTGCTGTAAGTATTCACTGAGTCAAACCTACAGAGAGCATTTCACAGCTCAGGTTGAAAATTTTTTTGGTTGCGTCCTGCTACCCTGATTTCTGCACTTGCAGAGTGGGAAGTGGGTGGTACCTGTGTAGGCCTGTAAATGTAACACTTGCTAACAAATAACAGTGAGTTCAAGGTTTGTCTCTCTGCCCCTCCACTGATGTGTGCTTTTGTGCTGAAGCAGATTTGAGTAAGATGCATTTCTTACCTGCTACAACAAGAGGAAAAGACAGAAGGTCTTTAGGAACACATCTGTTCCTGCATGACATAGGGATGTGTGTGTGCAGTTCAGCCATGATGGTAGCGTAGAAGAGCTTTCAGTGATTTTCAGCAGTGTTTTTTACGCAAATGCCAGATGATGAAGGGACCTACACTGGGAGATCCACTGCCTACCATCTAGCAACTTCCACCTTCATGTCAGCCCAGAGCACAGAGGGTCTTTGACGAAAATTACAAGCCCAGTTTTGAAACCATTTTAACCAAGTGAGTGTTTAGTTGTAGTTATTGTCATCTTAGTCTTTAGCAAGAAAAGTAGCATAAAAGTAAAATAATTTATCCATTTAGGAAATATGTTTGTGAGCTAAGACCTACTTGAATTTTGTGAATGGAGTGTCAAGTCATGATTAGCACATCCTAACAAATATGATGATACCTGCCATATTTGACAACAAAATAGGAAAATAATTACTGCTAAATAATTTTAAAGCATGCTCCTGATTTCTCTCTGGGTGGAGTAGTTAGTTTGTTTAATCTTCTAAGGCAAGACAATTTCTTCCACTGTTTGAGCAAAGGTAGGAAAAGTATGCAAAGGGCAGGAATTTTTTAAATGGCGAATAACCTTCCAAGAAAAAATTGTCTGAGAGGAAGTTTTCTCAAGAAAAATATTTTACAGACATTTGTTACTGTTTTCATATCTCCCTTGGAATGGGACTTCGGGTTTCTGGGAAGTGGCAGAGTTAGAGCACAGCAAATAAAAATAAGGGAGTGAGGAGCTGCTCTTTTTCTCGACAAGCTGCTCATCAAAGCATGGTGAACGGAAATATTGTAAAATGGTAACAATTTGTCTCCAAAATAAAGTCTCCAAAGCCTCTTGCTTTTATTTAAAACAAAAAGTCATGAAACAGCATGAGGGAAAGAGCCAAGAAAACACATTTTGTATGCCATCAATGTGAGAAAAGGAACAGAAATGCTGTGCCAGTTTCAGACAGAGGCAATCAAGTAAATTTTCTGGCAAGAAGGCAATGCATAAGGCCACAGGATTGCAACAGGAGTCACAGAGAACAAGAAATTATTTCAAATTAGGATCAGACCAAGTACTTCAGGAGACCCACACAGATTGCAAAGGATGGAGTATGATCACTGCAAAGCGGCACAGGAAATAAAATTTCTTTATAACCACAAGACTGCAACCAAAAAATCTGCACACACAGACTTTCTTAATGAGATTTCTTGATCTTGATTCCTTGATAGGGGTTAAGGGCTCCCTGTAGTGGATGACTGTAAAGCATTTAAATTTAATCAGTGCTAAAAAGAGCTAGAACATTCTACACCTCAGAGAGGGTCCTGCTTCATCCTGATAATAAACAGGCTAAAACTTAGCCCTTTCCAAAGAGCCATCCCTCCTGCCTGCCCCAGGCACCCTAGAGCTGCCAGGAGCCCTCACCTCCCAAACTGTCTCACAGCAGACCACTGGCCAGACCAGGTGTTAGCAGAGACAGACACCTGTCTTTCCAAAGCTGTGGCTGTGTTCTGTCCACCCACGACAGAGCAGCCTTTCCATCCCCAAAATGAAGACATGGTGACATTGCCCATGGCATGGCAGGATGTCACACCACACATGGTGTTGAGTGGCTCACAGGTCATGCAGGGCAGGTCAGACCTCAAGTGGCACCAGCGACTGAAACAGTACTTGCTGCAGCCTTGGGATCAAGAGAAACCCAAGAGCAGCTTCTGGCCACTTTTCCCTTGTGTCCTTAGGTTTGGCACCAAGTGTACCTCAGGCTGAGAAGTCCAGCCTACACGAATATTACAACTGCAGACAGCTGTACTGCTTTACATAGCACTTAAATAAGAAGACAGATTATCTTCCCTGCAACACTTGCAACAATCAGTCCCTGTCATTATCAAGAACACTTCTATAATCAGGATTTTTCTTTCCACTGCCATCTTTTGAGAAGTGCTTAGGAAAAAGACATACTTCAGCACTTCTTTGTGTCTTGCATGTGTCAATTAAGAGAATTTCTGCATGCACATCTTAAGTTTTCTTAAAGGTGTTGAGATCTACTAATTCATAGAATGCTCCTTCTCCAATCAATCCTTCAGACACAAGACATAAAATCCTAAACCATGCCATATGAGAATAAAAAGATTTAAGACTCAGTGCACCTTCACAAAGCTGACAAAATATTTTTTTACTTTTAGTACAGTAATTCAATTAACTGAATGAGGAACTAAGAGTTCTCTAACCAGTAAAACTGGTAGATATCCTTCAGAATAGCATTCTGGGACTTATGCATATTTGGCCAAAGATTCAGGATATACCTGAGTTTGTTAATTGTCGCAGAAAGAGACAGTCTTCTTCCCTCACTTCTGTCTACTCCCACACATCAGATGAGATAGAACATTCCACTGACTAACAAGTTTAACAATGAACTGTGTGGATTATTCACTTGTCATTTAGAGCCAATTGCTAGCCTCTGTTCTCAAAGCTGTAGCTGGCTACCCCAAGAGGTAGTGAAATGGAAACTCTTTACACATCTACCAGTGAGTATAATTCTAGCACTGCTAGAGGCACCACTTTGGATTAAAACAGTAAAATGCTGTGATGCACTTTGCAAACTATTATACCATAATAACACACAAACAATTGTATAATGAAAATTTGGGAGACTTCTACTGCAGGGAGCCAGCACAACCTATCCCAGGGCAGAGCAAGGCCAAGAATGACGAGTGACAGCTGAGAAGGGAGGTTTCCAAAGCAAGCCTGCAGTTCCCTATTCACACTGTGAGGAAACCAGCAATCACCATAGTTCATTATCAGCACCTCAAGGTTCAGCCTACTAATCACACACTTCAGTCTGAAGTGCATCACCAGTTTTGTGTCTTTGCATTATTATGGGGTCAGTGGACTGGCAGTAGATGTGAAGTGTTCTCACCGAAACAAAACCCAAATCAACAACACCCTAGGGAAACAGCTGGTTGACTATACAAGCACTTCCATGAAAACCAGCCTCCTTTCCAGTGTGTTGTGCATGGCAAACCCATTCCATCTGATAAGGAGAACTCCTTGGACGATGTCAGTGGCTGTGGCATGTGGGAAGCTCCTTCTGTAGCGCTCAGTAGCACCAGCCCAGCAGAGAAGGAGCCTTCAGCACAGTTCCCACATTGAACAAACAGCTGTGCTCAGACACATCAGTGGCCAGGCCGAGGCTCTGTGCCAGCAGCGCAATTCCGCGGCTCTGAACTTTGATCACTTTGTGTGTTCCACGTCACTGGGTCCAGCTTTGTGTGCCGATTGCTGCCAATTGCTGAAGGGGGATTGAGTGGCAGTCATTTAAGTGTCTCCATCAATCAGCCTGCCACCAAGACTGCAGGCAAACTGCCCAGAAGAGAGCATTAGGCAGAGGATTCGAGTGTATGCTGTATAGCAGAGAACAGGAAAATATATTCAAAGGCAGGTATTTGCTAAAGCCTACCTATAATTAATTCTAATCCCATCATTAAATTTGCGTGCTTTTCTGCAAACATTCCCCCACGTTGGACTTCCACCTCAGGCCAATTCATGCAAAAGAGTACATGCCACGAGGAAAGAGGGGACTGTGGTCACCCGACCCGTGGTGCCCAACTTACTGATCCTTGTCACGGCTCCCTGCCATCTGACTTAAAGTAGCTTTCAGGCATTTTCCAGCAAACCGCATCTGGGCCAGACCCTCAAAAACACACAAGAGACGAACCTGCCTGGAAATCAATTACCAGCACCGAGCATCTTGATGTCATCATAAATTGTGAGCTTCTTGTTTGTGCTGAGCAAGCAGAGATCTGTGCATGGGAGTTGGGGTTGTGGGGATGTGAAACTTACCATGCCCAGGTTTGCAGAGATGAGGAGATGCCTCCCTGAGGCATAGGTAGGCTCACAGCACACTGGGCATGAGGAGGAGGCTAGAGGCAACATAATTATGTCTGCATTGGGCTAAAAATCTCCTTCTCATTTTAGCTGCTTCCACTGGGAGGGTGTTTTCACACATAGGCACACATAAATACCTGCACACAAGCAACAGATAGAGGCCCACATGCAGATATACTCTGTTTGGAAATAAGAAACTGAGGAAGCCCAAGGGTGCCATTTTCATACAGAAGGCTGGGTGATCATCCAGAGTGAGCACACACATGAATGTGTTTGCAGACAAACTGGAGCAGAGGCAAGTGCTTTGTTTTTGGAAATGCATTTATAAATGGATAAACAGAGACCTCCCCAGGCATTGCAAGAAAAGGTCATATAATCAGCCGTGAAGCCAGAGAGCGTATGGGTGACCATTGTTTTTTAAGATGAAGCCATTTATTTAGATGTTATCACACTTCTCCAAGAAAGAAGCTCTAGGCACCATTCTGATTTTAAAAAAAACTAGAAACAAGCATCTACCATGTGTTGAATATTCCCCATTAGCAGCAGGTTTATGCATGCATGTATTTTAAAATGTTTATTATGACAATACTTGTTATGACTGCCTTAGCTTTAGTAAATACCACATGATAATCAGACACAGTTGTTAGACCTTGAGCAAAATATGATTTAATTTCTTTTTAACATACTGAACAATAGCTATTTCTTGGTAATCTAAACTGAACACAGACACTTGAAACTACTTTGTTTCCTTTGAGGGGACAGTGAAAAGGAGGAAGGGAAAAAAATAAACCTGATCTCTGTGGGAGTTTCTCAAGAAGCAAAAAGGCAGGATTACATTTACCATAAATCCTACTTTCCTCCCTACTGAATGCATGAGCCCTTATAGACCTTATAGCAAGGTAAATTCTTCACCTACTGAAGAAACAGGTATTGCCTTCAGTGGAGTTTTAGGCACTGTTACAAGCAATATGGTGCAGGACCCCAAACCTCTTGGGGCATAGATCAACCATCTCATGCCAGTAGCATGGCTGGGTCCTCACCCATGGGCTGTGCTCCCCTTTACTGTCCTCCTGCTCTTCACTGATGAAAAAAAAAGATGAAACCACTGCAGCTAGTGTTAATTTGGGTTACAAAACAGGTTAGCTTTCAGAGGAAATCCATCTCAAGGTATATTTGGCTGCCCTCACTCCCTGCTTTTATGTGGAATATGATTGAATTTGCAAAAAAAGAAACCCCCTACAGCAGTGTTTAATTAGTTTGCTGGCAAACTGGAAAACATCTGTCCAAATGAGATAAAGACTCATTTGGCACAGAAAGACAGAAGTGTGGCAATGTATGTGTTAAATGGCACTTGAGCACGTACAAAATTATATGGCATGCAGAAGGTTTTGTTTTTCCAGTACCTGCAAACAGAAGTTTCCACTAAAATTCAGTCTCTGTACAGTACAGGGTACCCTCAGGTCTTTTCAGAAAGTACTCACTGACTGACAGGTTAGTCCTCAAATGAGTTAATGATCCAGAGATGAATTTAAGCTGTGATTAAGTTTTGAAATAGTGTTTTTGAAAACTGTGGACAGCAGTGTGCTGGGAAATTCACTGCTGAAGTTGGTTACACTTTACAGCACCAGTGCTGAGAACAACAATCAACATTTGCTTTATTCTTGTATCTGAAAACACCCCACCCTTGAAGTCACAACAGCTGTTCACTGGATAGGAATAGCTTAGTTCGCTACAGGAACTAAAGCCGAGATAGCTGCTCTTCTAATTTTGTGCTGAGAATTCTTCCAAAAAAGGTACCTAACAGAATTAGTTTACGAACGCCAACACCCGCATCCCCAATTTATAAGTCCAGTGCTTAATGCAATGCTTTTCATGTGGTGGAGACCTTAAGAAAGACATGTATGTGGTGGGAGTGTGCACGTTTGCAAGCACAAATCAATCAGTGGTTTAAGGGATCTGTATTGTAGAAAGCAGGGACAGGATAGGTACTTGTTCCCAAAGTAGCACTTAAAATGCAAACAGAAAAAAAAAAAAAGAACTGCTCAGTTTGTGAGGACTTCAGTTTTCTCTTATAAGCCCTTCTGTAACATTTCTTGAGCTGTCATGTACCTCTGTGTATGAACTGGGGCCGGCCAGTGGAAACCCCCCAGAGAGCAGCTGTGCACCTCACCCACCAGCTCTCTGCAATGCAGTGGGGCTGCTCCTTATGCACCTCAACACTCTGTTTGCCATTTCCATTGCATACCACTGCTCTTGCATGTCTCTGTATTACAGACACTTTAGTGAAGTGTATAATGCTCCTGTGGGATTGGATACACCATTGTAGATACTTGGTAATATGATCTGTTATCAAGGTCCCCCCAGAAGTCACCCTAACTACTTCTGATCTCAAGACAAAAACATGCTGGAGAATCTACCTTTTTATCTATCGTCAATTTTTTTTAGTAGCACTCTTCTGTGAACAAAATATCCAGTCACTAGGATTTTTATTTCGCAGCACTCCTTTTCCATGTGGAAACTAGAGCACTAGCAAGGCCATCCCCGCAGTGCAGTGGGGAACTGGTCCCTGCAGCTTCAGGCAGCCCCTATGGAAGGGACCACAAATCTACTCATGCCTTATGCCTGTTTGGGAAATACAGCAATTCAAAAGCAAGGGCTGGTAAGTTAAACCCATGGGGGTAGTCCCTGGGGGAGTATCTTTTAAGTTCTCAGACAACCCAATGTTGGTTGCAGAGTGATGACTTTCCTGTAAGAACCAATAAATCAAGGTCTAGCTTCCACTCTTTGCAAGACCACCTATGATTTCAAGTTCCAAGTGGGTGGGCATCACTCTTTCCATATATTCTTTACATAATTAGGCTTAAACAGCCAAACTACTTCAAATCAATTTAAGAATTATGACTGCTGGTACATTTTGTTTTGTCTCCTGTTTCTGCTGACAAACTCAAATAGCCAGAGGAAGGTCCTTTATAGTTTTCTCAGGAGAACAGCTCTACCAAAGAGATTATTGAGAAATGTTCTCAGTCAAGCTTTGCCTGTAAAAATATATTTTTTCAGGGATTCTCTCTCACCCATAGAGCCAACCAGATGCCTTCACACACAAGCAACTGAACACTGTGGTTTAGGATAATGTTCCTTCACCCTCAAGTGTCTTGTCACACCCTAGGTAAAGCAAAATGTTTGTTGTGGCCTAATCTAAATGACTGGTGCAAATGACATGTCACATTGTGGGAAGGCTCAGTGGCTCCTCTCCTCCATCTTCCTTCCAATATCCAAAGTCGCAGTAAAACTTTGCTTTCTCCAAGCCCTTGGCTTCTCTAAAGGTGCTCTCCTGCATTTATTAATCTGCCACAAACACACAGACACATTCCTATTGCTTTCTGACAAAAACCCTAGAAAATTCCAATCCAAAGCCAACAGTCACCTTGGAAAGCATGTCAGATCGCATTACATGAATGGGTTTGGAGGGTGATCCCTAAATTGCTGGGATTTGGGTGAAGGGGGTGGGAAGTCTTACACTTTGGCTGCATCTTCAAAACAGGTTTTTCTCCTCTTCATTCTCCTTGAGAGAGAGGAGGAGAAAACTTCTGTCACTGCTGGGAAAACATCTCCTTTAGCTGTCCAGAAGCTCTAGAGGACCTTTCTAACATTTAGGATCTATAGGCTTCTTTTGAAAACCAAGAGCAATATTTTCAGTAGCTTTTAGGCATTTAAAGATGCCCATAGTCAATGGGTTTCACTGGGAAATCCATTTAAATGGTTTCCTAGTGAGGTCTTCAAACTAGAGCTGTGCACCCAGGCAATTCAGAAACAAACTGCAAGGCAGAAAAAACACACCTTCAACTTCTCCCAGTGCATAAATAACTTTTTAGAGAAGCTGAGTAGGATGAAAGGCAATGAGCAGAAACTGAAGGACTATCCCCGGCATCTCTCATGCTTCTGAGCAGGCTTTCCCTGTAGTAATGGTATCTGATAGCAATAATCTAGCAGCAGCACATATCTCTCATCTCTCACATATCTACCACATATCTACCACATCTCTCATCAAGACCAATTTTGTCTGATCCCTCCTTCCTTTGGGAGCAGGGGGAGACAAGCTGGACAGACAGTACCAAACACAGGTTGTGTCTTCAGTAGCTGTAGCAGACTCCAAGCCCCAGACAGCTCATGAGGCCACAGGGGAGGCTCTGACCTCCTCCCACAAGTATGTCAGCCAAGTCCCATCTAGCCCAAAGTTGTTCAGTAAATAAACTCTCACCTTGCACCTCAGCTAGTCACACGCACCTGCCCCAGGCAAAATCAATAGATGAGAAGCAATCTGTCACTTCCAGGCCACACTGATTGGGTTATGGATGAGTCAAAAAACACTACTGGAAACACAGATGTGGTGAGATCACCTCCTTCTCTGGAGCCTTCCTATTTTCACAAGTCTTGTCTGATCTCCCTCAAAATTTCCATGCGCATACACAAAACAATCTTGTGTACCTTGTGGTCATGCCTGTTCCAGTGCAGGTGCATTGCGTGATGCTTGGCAGCCTGGCACGAGCAGCAGGAGGCTGAGTTCACCCTGAGCTGCAGGCAGGCTGGTGTCTCCCCGTAGGAAAGTTTTTTCAATTATTTCAAATGCCTCCCACTTGCACACAAAGTCCATGTTTTGTAATAAAAACAAGGAGAAAATCTCATCCAAAGGAATTTTACCTATTTCCCCCTCTACTTATTCCACTGAAGGTATCTTTTTTTAAAAAAACAACCCCCCAAAACTGACTATCAGAACAACAAAATAGCCAAGATGCTAAATTAACACCCTCATTCGTCAAAATCCACCTTGCCCTTCATACTAACAGTCCTATATCATCCAGTATCTTGTCATTTTTTAAAAGGATTCACTGAATTTCTCCCTTCATACAGATAATGTTTTTCCTTTGAGAGAGAGGCAGAGAATAGTGCAAATTTTCCAGTTACTGGGATTTTCCCTGCAAACTAGGATAGGCATTACCCTAGTCAGCTGCAGAGATGCAAAGGTGTTGCAAGTTACTCCTTCTGTACAGAAAGGAGCAGGAAGGCCAAGAAAGACAAGGGGGATCTATTCCTGCCTCCCCCATTCTCCCCCAAAAAACCCCCAAAAGGTTGCTTAGGGTCCATGTGTCCAGATGAAGCTGCAGTGGGTTAGTTCAGTCACCCCAGCCAAGCCACAATAACTGATCATGCACAGGCTGTCCTCCCACTCCAAAGCTCACCATTTCCGCTTTAAGAAGAAACACCACATTCAAAGGCCCTAATCCTTTAGCTCACAGCAGCACAGCCAGCTGTGGGCTAAAAGCCACACTAAACTCACTGGAGGAGAAGCATTTGCTGAAATACTTTGCTGAACAAGGATGAGCAACTGTGCTTGGGCTTTAGCTACACTTACAAACTCCTGTACATCTTGGCTCTGGTTTTCTTTGCCACATGGCAGTTGGTTACGTCCAAGAATTCCTGGGAGGGAAAGTGACTGTAGAAACTCAGCTGTGCAACATATGCTCCATCTAGTGTTTATTCGTAGTATTTCATTTTCCTAAAAGGTTTGGTTTGCTGTTAACACATATTTCCATCTTTTCTATAGTTCATGTGTCAGTATATGATCATTGTTGAAAATAATCTTCTGCTTGTTTCAACTACACCATTTTGATCTAGCCTCCACTTACACCTTCAGTAATGATTATATACCTATTTCCATTTAGAGATTTAATCTCATAGAGCAAAATGAAGGGAAATATTTTAAAAGAGCAGCAAGGGTTTCCCAGGTACTCTGCTAACACCAAGTGAATGGAAAACGTCAAGCAGGAGTAAAACATAAAACCTGGAGGACACACAGGGCATAAATGCCATAAATGTTTCTCCCCATAAATGATACTTCCCAGACATGAGGGCACAGTGCTGAGCCCCTTTGCCATAGACTGAGGTACTTTTTTGTTCTCTATGTTAAGCCAGGCTGCTGGGAAGGGGCAGGAAAATAAGCAGGTGACATAAAGTCCTTGCTGCCTCTTCAGGCTACCTTCATCACACCAGAGCACAGCAGCTGCTGGGAGCAAGTCCTGACAAGCAGTTTGGCAAAGCTCTGGAGCACAAATGACCTGGAAATGCACACAGGTTGACTGCAAGGCATCTTTGCATGGTAGAAAAAAGGGACAGTGGCAACAGCCACCAGGCTTGGCAACTGCCATGTGTATTTGGAAAGAGCAGGACTTGCATGCCAGATTTGGTTGTGGGGCAAAATACTCCAACACACAGTCTCTTCTTATCACATGCTGTCCCCTAATTTGCATTATACTTGAGGGAGTTCCTGGTTCCTAATTTGCTGTTCAGCTGATTGTAATGCCCTTAACTGCAAAAAGAAAATCCAACAGCAGGTGGGACAAGAAGTCCCAAGCTAACATTTTGAAAAAGAAGTAAAAGAAAGAAAGCCCAAACCCATTCTGTTGTGTTAGCAGGACTGGTGAGGTGTTGGGATGGGCTGCCTTGCAATGGGCCAGGATCTGCATAGGGGAAGACCTTCAGAAAAAAGTTGAACATTCCCAGAGGAAGGCTTGGGTTGGCTGATTCCTACCTGGAGTGGTGGCAGCCTAAGCAGGCACACTTTTTCTGGGGGTTGGCCAAGAGGATCTCAGCCCAGCTAAGAGGAGAGCTGGCAAGGAGCTGTGATAGAAACAGACAGCCCTTGGACACTGCAGCCACAGGGTACAATCCCAGGCACAGATTTAAGCTTAGAAACAGAACTTTCATTGCTGTGGAAAGTAGAAGGGGAACTGACAATACAGCTTCCTTTGGCAGAATGCATTTAGGAGATCCCCACATCCCCTGCCTGCTCTTCCCATGTGTCAGAGCTTGCGGCAGAGCTCCCCAAAGCTGTGCTGTGGCACCTGCACAGGTGAGAAGGCAGCAAACTGGGAGCAGGCCCCTGTGTGGAGTAACAACAGAGGGCTCCTGTGGGGTGGCATAAAACTAAATACATAGAAGGGCATTTGCTGTAATAGCACTACTTGAGTAGACCCTCCAATAAATCAGATACAGGCCTGCTGCAGGATATCTTCTAGGGCAGCACACAAACCAGGGCCACTTTGCAGAGATTTAGATCCAGTTTGCTGCAGAAAATGAGAACAGCTTGCCCGAATGAGGAATGCACAACATGAAAAAACATCTTCCAACCGTGTGTTTTGTGGTGCTTTTCACAGGTGATGGTCATGCTGCTCTTCCCCATGCAGCTGCTGGCAGTGGCTGTCACTGTTTACCTAGAGCTGGTGAGGTCTGCTCAAGGTGGTGCCTACTATGGGCTCAAGCAGCTGCCACCTCAGGTGCCCCAGTACCAACCCCTCGGACAACAAGTACCTCACATGCCGCTGGGCAAAGAAGGCATCCCGATGCAGCACCTGGGCAAGGAGGTGCCCCGCATGCCCTACGGGAAGGAGTACCCCCATCTGCCCCAGTACAGGAAGGAGGTCCCGCAGCTGCCCATGCTCGGCAAGGATATGGCTCCCAAGAAAGAGAAAGGTAGGTCAGCATGTCCCTCTCTACTCCTGCATGGTCCCATCTGGCATGCCAGAGCACTGTTTGCCGTGGGGAAATTGAACATTGGAGCAGGCTGTTGCTGCTGCAGGCTGGGCACAGCACCCTTGTCCCAAAGGGCTGGCCAGGCTCATACTTGGCCACAGGTGGACAAAACAGGTTCATGGGAGCTGTGGGGCAGCTCAGGGTCACCAGCACAAGACCACAATCATCCTCTGGGCTGCAGCACAGCCTCTGAGCAGCCCTACCTGCAATGAGCCTCCAGCACAAAAGTTTGTTCAGGTGCTGTTCAACTCTAGGAAAAACCTTGTTTTCCCACCAGTTTGTAGGAGACCCTCTCATGGGTTTCAAATGATGGCCCAGAGTCCTGTCTGGATCTGTTCCCACTCTCACTGTAACAAGCAAACATATGAACTAAGAGCCCCAAGGTTTGAATTTATGGGAACATCATCGTTCTGTCTGACTTGTTCCAGACCCTGTGATTTTGAGGTTTACGGATAAAAATATAAAATTGCTCTGCAGCTCCGGAGTCCTCTTTCTGTACATTATTTATGGGTGTAACAGAGGCATTGAAAGTACAGAGGATTAATGCACAAGTCTGCATGTACAAGCACTTTCCCTATTCAGTAAAGGAAGTTTGGACATTATTAAGGTATTTAAGAAAAAAAAAAAGTCCAAAATACAAAGGGTGACCAGGAACACCCAGTGTCATAAAATCCTTGTGAGGACCACCAGCATCTGTGCAACTGCAGACAAACTGGGTAATTTTGTATTATTGATGCCCCAGCTAACCACAGCCTCCACTGACTTCAGAGGGAAATGGAAGATTTCGGGGCCTATTTTTGGAGTGTCTGAACAAACACCACTGGCTGTAGTAAAATCAGCCTACCTCGTGAGCAAAGATTTTTGATGTGCATAAACATATGCAGAGAGGGAAGGTTTCTACCTCCCATAAAGCAGACGTCTGTCCTCAAACCTCATCTCCTGTCCTTCCCCAAATCTCTCACTTCTTTACACATTTTAGAGCTGGAAAGAGTTTCCATTAACCCAAAAAGCAGTAGCTGGAAAAGCAACCAACCCCAGCAGCAACTTCCCTACCCTGACCTGCAAAGATAAGTGGTCACATACACAAAAATGTGGGTTTCAACAATAAAAACCTTTTGCAAAGTGTTTAGAAGAGCCATAACTAGAAATGGCTATGCCAAAAGAGCAATACTGATTAAGGCTGCAGGTTTCCAGTAATACTCTAATGGGAACCAAAGCCTTGGGGAAAATACAGACATACCCTCTATATAAACTTCTTACTGATACAATCTTTTTTAATTGATCTTGCTCATTTACACCCCTCCAGAAAAAGCACTTTTATGCTAGGATTCCTCTCACACCACAACAGCGCCGAGTTTCCTGCAAAAATTCTTAAAGGTAGATTGATCTATAGCAACATGGGACAAAATGCAGATTTTGCTGTTTAAGACTGTATAGGTAGAAAACACCACCAAAGCACAAATGGCTTTTACATATGATGCACAGTAATTACTTTGTGGAAACAGAAGCATGCATGGAAGTTTGGAGTATGAAAAACAGTAGTAACATCCTCTTCATTCTCAACACCAACCTGTAACTAGCTGTCTCTGTCTACTACAGAACCACAAGGCATCATAAAAAGCATATTCAATTCAAAACTGCCTGTTTTTTGAAGGATGTGACTGTATTCACCTTTTATCTCTCTCTCTTCCCCGCTTTCTTCGTTTCTTCCTGATCCAGAAATTCCCATGCGCAGTCTGAGGGGTGAGCAAGGTCCCCCGGGTGAGCCTGGACCAAGAGGGCCACCAGGGCCACCAGGATTACCAGGTCATGGTGTACCAGGAGCCAAAGGAAAACCAGGCCCTCAAGGATACCCAGGAATTGGAAAGCCGGGTTTGCCAGGGATGCCAGGAAAACCAGGGGTCATGGGGCCCCCAGGGCCAAGAGGGGAGATGGGGCCGAAGGGGGAGATTGGGCCCATAGGGATACCGGGACCACAAGGACCACCAGGGCCTCATGGGCTTCCTGGGATAGGGAAGGCAGGTGCTCCGGGACTGCAGGGGCAACCAGGGCCAAAGGGTGAGCCTGGGATGAAGGGGCCACCAGGAATCCCTGGGATCCCAGGGCCAAAAGGGGAGAAGGGGATCGGGATCCCAGGTTTGCCAGGTCTGAAGGGTCCACCTGGGCTGCCTGGTCCCCCTGGTCCCGTGGGACTGCCAGGGGTTGGCAAACCCGGCATGGTTGGCTTCCCTGGCCCACAGGGACCCCTGGGCAAACCCGGACCCCCAGGAGAGTTGGGTCTGCAGGGGCCTCCAGGGGCCCCTGGGATCCAAGGCCCTCCTGGCCCACCTGGTATTGGCAAACCAGGCCAGGACGGCATGCCCGGCCAGCCTGGCTTCCCGGGTGGCAAAGGGGAGCAGGGATTGCCAGGCCTGCCCGGCCCCCCTGGCCTCCCTGGGGTTGGGAAGCCGGGTTTCCCCGGGCCCAAAGGGGAGCGAGGTGTGGGTGGTCTGCCTGGGCCCCTGGGGCCGAAGGGGGAGAAGGGGCACGCGGGGCCACCTGGCATGGGAGGGCCACCAGGGGAGCCCGGCCAGCCAGGACTGCCTGGCATCATGGGTCCCCCGGGGGCTGCCGGTTTCCCAGGACCTAAAGGGGAGGGGGGTGCCGTAGGGGCACCAGGACCAGTCGGCCCCAAAGGGGAACCCGGCCTGCAGGGTTTTCCAGGAAAGCCAGGCTTTCCTGGGGAAGTGGGTGGCCCTGGGCTGCGGGGGCTGCCGGGTCCCACAGGACCCAAGGGGGAAGCCGGACACAAGGGCTTGCCGGGGCTGCCGGGAGTCCCGGGTCTTGTGGGGCCAAAGGGTGAGCCCGGGCTCCCCGGTGCCCAGGGGCTTCAAGGCCCCTCGGGCATCCCGGGCATCGCGGGACCCAGTGGTCCCATCGGCCCCCCCGGGCTGCCAGGGGCGAAGGGGGAGCCAGGCATGCCCGGCCCCCCTGGCTTCCCTGGGGTAGGCAAACCTGGTGCTGCGGGGCTGCAGGGACCCCCGGGAAAGCCTGGGGCGCTCGGTCCTCCTGGCCAGCCTGGGCTCCAAGGGCCACCGGGCCCCCCCGGGCCACCAGGTCCCCCGGTCATCATCCCGCCCACGCCACCAGCCGTGGGACAGTACCTACCTGAGGCGGGGCCAGGAATAGACGGCTTGAAGCCCCCCTACGGCTATAAGAGCAAGAAAGGCAAGGCTGGCGGTATTGTCTACGAGATGCCCGCATTCACGGCAGAGCTCCTCACGCCCTTCCCCCGCGTCGGGGTACCCGTGAAGTTCGACAAGCTCCTGTACAACGGCCGGCAGAACTACAACCCCCAGACGGGGATCTTCACCTGCGAGATCCCCGGCGTCTACTACTTCGCCTACCACCTCCACTGTAAAGGCGCCAACGTGTGGGTGGCGCTGTACAAGAACAACGAGCCGCTCATGTACACCTACGACGAGTACAAGAAGGGCTTCCTGGACCAGGCTTCGGGTAGTGCCGTGGTGCAGCTGATGCACGGAGACAAGGTTTACGTTCAGATGCCATCCGAGCAGGCGGCAGGACTCTATGCCGGGCAGTACGTTCATTCGTCATTTTCAGGGTATTTATTGTATCCCATGTAAAACAAAACAGACACACATACACACAACAGACACACAAAATAAAAACCTTTCTCCTGTGCTTCTAACTTTTATACAACAAAAGATGCATTTTATGACCATTTTGGACCATCTTATACAAAACCAAAAATAATAAATACAAAGTTTAACATTATGCACAGCTAGTTATAAAAAAAGGTGTGGTGAACATACCTAAAGATGTGTATCAGGTTCATAAACAGTTTTGCACCCAAGGGGGACATATTAGCTGTACACATTATATATTTCCGCAATGCCATGCTTACTTAATTTCATTCACAGCAATTCAGTACTCAAATTCAAATCAGTGTATGTCACTCACTCCTGTTGCATTGATCATAGTTATGAGATGAAAAACAGTGACTTAAAGCAGAGTAGGTCAGTCTCTAATTATATTTTTTAAAAAATTGAGTGGCTTATTTTCTTGGTGGGGGTTTTCTTGGATTTTTTTATAGCAGATCTACCTGACAAGTAAAGGTTTCCTTAGCTGGAGACTTTTATTTCCCTTCCCCTGTAATAAAATAATCCTGCACGTGTCGGTTTTTTTCCTGAACAATTTATTTATGATGGAAGAGGAATCCTGATGGCATGACCATTCCCACCTGAGCCTTCTCCAGCAGGACCTAAAATGTCACTAGTGACTCCAGCAGGCACTGGTTTCACCTCCAAATGCCACAGCACTTAAAAAGTCTCCGTTCTCTTATTCACACAGCTCAAGTAGATGAGGTAAATCTCCCCCATTTACGCATGCCATGTCATTGAGACATTTTGGCCAACACGTGGTAATACTTCAGGGTGGTATAAATTTGCTTGGATTTCTGTGCTTGTACCAAGAACTCACTTGGCTTGTCAGAAGAGACACCTATTCTGCCACTCAGCAAAAGCTGAATCAGTTTGCTCTTCAATGACTAGGCAAAGCAGAAGTAGCTCTGTTTGCTTAACTGATTTGTTGCTTGAGAACAACCAATAACTTTACCAGCAATACTGATCACGCAAATTTATCTGAGAACTTGGTTCTGTCTAAAAACTGATTTCCAATCCTTATTTATATATTACCAGTTGTCAAGGAGAACCTGCAGGCCGCAATACTTTTCTGTACTTGAGGACATCGACTTCTGTGCATGAAGTCTCTGTCTGCTCATCAGTGGTGCTAATCTCACCTCAACAAGTGTTGTTTCCAAAGGGCAGTGGACCTTGCTCTGGTTCCCTGTACGGTGCTGCACATCACACATGGCTGCGCTAGTTCAAGTGGTTAAGTGCTCATCACTTCCTCAGTGTCTTTAACTACCGCTACTGCTTTTGATTAAAAAATAAACTAGATTTTTTCATGCAGAACTAAAATCAGATTTAACTGGCATTACCATTATTTAAATGCAGAGTTTAATGCAGTCTAACATTGACTAAGGATTCCAGTGATATAATGTGGTGCTTTATCTCAGAAATTTTATGGAACAGTGGCAGGAATGGACAGACAGTTTACCAGACACTGGTGACTTCAGTATGTTCCCAGAATATATGAGATATGTCAAAAGCAAGTAATTTTGTATTTAAAATTTTTGTACTGATTTGAAAGAAATATCTTATTAAATATCTTTAAAGATAAGACCAAAAACCAATTCTGTCTTCATTCAGAACTATCAGAAGGAACATTCATCCTGCTAAACTCATTTATCAGACCACAAGGGCTCTCTGAAACCACTGACAGCCTGATATAGAGGGGAAAAATTAAGAGATACACCCTTTTCTCTAGTTCCCATCTCCTGGCAAAACATGCTCTAAGAGAGGGAACACGCCCCATTTGGTGGGAGGGCACAGCAGGGTCTGGGGGGTACACAAAGAGGGAGGGGCTCCCTCAGGCAGCCCCTGGGGACAGATACTGCTCAGCATGAGCCAACATGAGAGTGCAGCTGAAGAAGGCAGAGGGGCAGCCAAGGAATCAGCCACAGAGGTTGCTGCTAAGGGCTTGTGTTGCCTGAAAAGGCAGTACTGGCTGCCCAGGATGAGAGGTGCTGGCTCTCCTGATGTGGCTTCCCCACCTCACCTCAAGACAAGCATTTTGTCCAAGCTGGTGAACTCGTGAACTGTCCTTACTGAAAGCAATACACTGAATACCTACTGTGCCAGAGAACTGTTATCCAAATCTCTCTTGGACTCCCTGAAGCCCTCAGCATCTCATTTTTACTGCACAATGGAAAAACAACTAGCTAAGTACTGCACTCAGCATCTCTTTCTCTCTAAAGCCATTTTCACTTTCTGAAATTTTTTATTGCACACTATCTTCTTTGTTCTGCATCTCTTATTTTAGCATTCCTCCGTCAGCCCACAGTAAGACCAGCTTCAAAATACAATGAAAAATTTGAATCACAAGGATGCTGCTCTTCATCTTACCCACAAAAAACATGTCTCAGCCATGCCCGTACTCAGCCTGGAGTCAGATCTCTAGCCACAGTGCAACTCTGCCCACCTAGGGTCAAAAACTTTCAGTTGTTTGCTCTACAAAGCACTAAAGTTTGTTCCAGCACTTGAAACCATATCTGACAACACCATTTACTTGCACACTAATAATAACGGCCCTGAGCATACCCACACATCCACACTCGTATGCAGAGCACCAGCCTTGCAAAAATAAGTCTGAGGGCACTGTCTTTAACAGTTTATTCAAAGGAAAATAATCTCCTTCCACATGTAGCATTCAAAATTTCACTTGAAACAACTCTAAGAATTCTTCAAAATACAGGTGGCACTTTAAAGGCATATAAAACTTAAGACAAATGGCAAATAAGTATTTCCCAATACCAAAAACATATGCAGAGCTGTGTATATTCTTAAAAACCACAGTCCACTTAAAAGGGAAGGTATTTATACTCTCCCCCAGAGCATTGCTAAAAAGGAAAGCACGGCATTGGAAACAGAAAGTACCACATGCTGATTAAACACCGAAGTTGTGATTCTGAATTATTATCGCCAATACAGTCCCTGAAAATATCTGGAATATGTTTAGGAACATCTTTTAGGCACTCTCAGATTCACATTTAGTGCAGCAGTCTGTGACTTCCCTTAATTATTACAGCAGAGGAAATAACAGTTTCCCAACATCCCTTAATTATTACAGCAAAGGAAATAACAGTTTCCCAACAAAGAAACCTCATGAAAGTCTGAGCCAAATGGAGCTTTCAACCAACATGTGTCATCCTGCCTGTTCTGTACATAGTTTGGTATTTCAGGGCTGTGTCTGTCTAACAGTGCAGCATTTTGAGAGGGGTGGCAGATAAAATGCAGAAGCACCTTTGCTGTAAGGTGATGCTGTCTAGAAATTCAGGAAGCTGCCAGAGAACATGAACAGAGTTAATAAGGGAGGAGAACATCTGACTTCAGATACAAAAATGATAGGAGAAATTGGGGACTTACACAGTTACACCATTATCAGACACAGAAATAAAGCTGGCAGCACTCTGGGATTCAAAACTGGCAGCTTCACTCCTGATATAATAAAAAAAAAAACTGGATAGCTCTTAAAGGGAAGTTTCAGTGCAGATTTCATTTTCAGAAATGACAAAAAGGTAAAATAGTCTTAATAGCAGCTCAGGTTCAGAAACTATCTAAATATTTGGTGTTAGCATTATTTTTTATTCTGAAAGCCGTAAGTTAAGTCTTCAGTACTGGAAAACACCTGTGAAAATGTGTGCCCAGACAGAATAGACACTGATCTGTAAGTACTGCTGAGAAACACACTACACATGGGTGTTCCTGCCTGAATGAAGTTCAAAGCAAGACATGTCCTCGTGGCAGAGCAGCAGGAATGATGTGCAAGAAGCAGGTGCTGGAACAGTACACAGGATCTTGTGGGGAAAAAAATTCATTACTTGGCTCACTCCTTATTATAGAGGAGAAAAGCTACGGGCCTGCAAGCTGGGATTTCAAAAAAACTCAAACCAAACCAAAAAACCCAAACAAACAAAAAACAAACAACCCCCCCCCCCCCCAAAAAAAAATCCACCACAAATGGCCCATAGTTTATCAGTAGCATCACCTCTTGGCGTGATCCTGAGGGAACAGTTTAATTCAAAACATTACCCAGTCACCCAGGGACAATAACTGTGGTGAACTCAACACCCCTGGCAGGAGCACAGAAGTGGGAGAAAAACATCCCTAGAAGTACTGCTTAATTTGAAAAATAAGTCAGTCATACCATGGGAAGGCTTATTAGGATATAAAAAGAAACAGGTGATATGGATAAATGCTTGTAGAGAAGAGAACATATTAAATTCCTTGAGAACACCAAACATTATTTTTAAAAAAATTTAGGGAGATCAAAAAGCTGATGTGGCAAAAGTGAAGAAGACTGAAGGGATTTTTTTTAACTACAAAGAGTTTGGGAGACACCATTTCTTTACCATGAAGCTGCTATTTTTTCCAATTATTTTGTCTGTTCTGCTACAGCTAGAATCCAAATCACAAAAAAACCCAGAAAACTAGAAAAATCAGAGAAGGAATCAGTTTATATTAGTGGGAAGAGTATCTCTGGAGATTAAATAAAGCAGAGAAAATAACCACATCTTCAAAAGCAGAGATCAGTACCCACTTCCTGGAACTGGAGCCAGGGTGGAGAAGCAGAGGGATGCAGTCACCACCATCACAAGAACTCTCCTCACAGTGTCTGGAAGATATTCAACAGCTCTTCTGGAAAAAAATCCTCATGGACAGCATCCTGCAAGACATTACATGGATGCAGCTGGACCATGGCAACAGCCATTGGGAGAGCTGGGGGCCCCAGCTCTGGAAACAACCGCAGGTTTTGAGGGCGAAGGGGCAGCCCCGCACTTCTGCTGGCCTTGGCTCTCAACACAGTCTAAGATCCACCAGGGGCTACTCTGCAACAACAGCTTGGAGAACACTGCTATGTCTGCAAAAAGCCTTGCCACAGCAGTGGAATTACTACTGTCAGGAGTTTAAATCACTGTACGTCTGCAGCGGCAGAATCACATACAAAACTCTTTAATTAACTTAAATAACCAGGAGAAATAAATGCTGGTAGAGACACAAAGATAATAATGTCACTATTTTCTTAGGTGAAACCCCACCTGTTATATTGAGATTTTCAAGCAAAAATCTCTCCAAAGTCTCAGGAAAAAATAAAGGAAATACACAAAATTAAGAGCCCTTCTGCCGCTTGAAGAAATTATTATTTCCTCCATTTCTACCACCAGTTCCAACACCTGGGGACATGCTCCCTCTTCTCCACACCCCCACCTGCCACCCTACACACAGCTGGAGTGTAGGTGCAGCCAAGCAACATGCAGCAGACAATACACCATGGCACACCCTGCCCCTTGCTGGGACACACCTGCATCCTTCCCCAGCCCATGCCACAGATTTTTCTGACATCTCAAGTTATTTCAGGTATGTCCAGCTTGCTTGAAACAGACCAAAGCTCAGGAATCACTGGGTGAAAACACAAGCCTCCGTCCCTTCAGCTGTGGCACCTCTCCAGACCACACTGCCCTCCCCCTAATTCAAAATGGCAATTCCTCTACATAGCTGCAGCAAAATAAATTGTGTTCAGTACTCTTGCAAGCCTCATCTTCTGCAAATAACGTTATGTTGATATTGTGATTGTTTGCATTACTCTTAAATGTATTCTCTATATAATTTTATTTAAAAGCAACAACAGTACTCCTACCAACTTCAAAGACTTTTTAAAGTGGACTTATTTGTGCTTTCTTCAGGTTTGATTGATAAACCACAAAATATTCCAGAAATTCTGCCATAATTAAAATAAAAATTTTATACAGATGTCCTGTGAAGAGAACTGGAACTGCATATAGTTGTTCTTTGACAGCTGTCAAGCGTGTTCCCAAGCAGATTTAATTTATTCACAGAGACAAACCAATACAGGAAATATAAACATCCCATTAAATGTTTCAACTAAAATCTTGAGCAAGTTCCCACTGCTAAATGATTTACTTCATCCACAAACTTCAACCTTAAATATCAACACAGAAGAGGTAAAATGATGATAATTCAGCTGAGGTACATGCTGGATATTCCCTACCACACTCTACTACCAGAAATGGGAGTATTCCTTGTTTGTATTGGTTACAGCATCTGAGGAAGGAGATTGTTCTCATTTGGAAAAATCCACCTGTTTTTGAGGACCAAACAAAAAAATGCGTGAGATGCTGTCCTGGAGAACTAGAACTCCAACAAACATTGATTCTAAACTCAGGCATGAACATCTCTGTCCAAGCTTGTGTTTCTATTGTGGTGTGAGGGCTGACACACAGGTAGTTTGGACAACTCTTCAGTCTTCATATTCCCTCTTTTTTAAGTCGAGTCAGCAACTGTAAGATTTACTGGATGAACAGCACAGAGAGTATGATTTTTCCATAAAATGGGTACAACACAAGCACTGTCAACACCAACATCTCCATGAATCGGACAAAGGGTCTTCACCTTCAGCAAAGGCAGACAGAAGCTCAGAGTTGATGGTCAGCGCAGAAGCTGTGGCTGCTTGGGTGAAGGTGGACATCCTCTCCGCAGGAGTATGGCAGACCAAAACCTGTACAGTCTGTATGTTCCCCCTTCTCCAAAACACACAGTAATGATTTTGATGCATAGTTTTTTTCATACAAGACAGACAGTCATGACTTTATATTCACCTACTGAACGAACATCGGTCATCTCAATCTCTTGACAGTGGAACTCTTTTGGAGGACAACATCAGAAACAAAAGTATTCCAGAGAATTAATCATTTGGAAAGAGTTCTAAGTGATAATAAAGTGATGTACATCACATTTTTATATATCCCTGATACTTTCAGTTGAAAGTTTCATGGTTTTCCCACTATTAAATAGCTTCACAGAAATTCAGTTAACTCTTTTTGCAGAAGTCCATTACCCTCAGTTAAAAGCTTTTGCCTTGATGGGGTTTCTGGGCTCCTTTAAACAGTAAACAGTTATGCTGCACTTAAAAAATAAAAATGTCATACAAAAAATAAAAATTTTTCAAATCTTGAAAATAGTGATTGTTCTTTGTATTTTCCATTCAGCTTTCACGTCAAATTGACTACAAAGTTCTTGTCTATAAGCTTCTTCAAAAATTTCTGCTCGGCGGTGATGTTGTGGTATTCATTCTAAAGAGATGTGAGGGAATAATAAAATTAATTATAAAATCAAATTATAACCAGTATCATCACCTGGCTGTTCCTTTCTATTACCTGGGATACTTGGAAGATGCTAAGAACAGAAAAGGTCTGGGGAAAAGACTTCTTAGCAAAGGCTTAGCAGTTTCCCAAGAAAACAGGATGCTCTAAACTAGATTAGGTATTTCCATAAGGACATGACCAAAAAGGATGATCCTTTGGTGATAAGAACAGGTGAAATGTGCTCTTGCAGAAATCCTTCCATTATTAACTCTCCCAACTCCTTGTCCTGCTTATTCAGAACAACAGCTGTGTAAGAACATTTACAGCACCAGCAGTAAGAAAACTAGCAACCCTCAAAGCTCAGTGCAGGTTCTTGAAAAGCACATCAGGCACTTGTGGTTCAGATACATCCTGCCAATTAGGTTCAGCAAGCCTAAAGCAACACATCTTCTGTGCTATATCCAGGTTCTGGATACATAGGAGACCACTAAAGTTAGTGGAGGGCAGCACAAGGAAAGTAAATTTACTTAAAGACACTGAATCCTGTAAATTAAAATTAAAATTAATATGTATACTACATAAAAGATTATAGAGATGTCGCATACTATTTGCAATTTATTGCCATTAAAGAACTAAAAGGAACATTTTTGTTTAATAGTATGTTTTTTTAATTTTCAAGACTTAGGAAACTTATGGATTCAATAATTCAATAATTCAACTAATGATCAGTCTTACTCAAACTGAGTATGTCTTGCAGAAAAGCATCTGCAGAGAGGAGCCTCCAAAGGAAGGTAAGTTCAGTGTCAGAGGAAAATTATCTCAGAATAGCAGGCATCTAGGAGTTCTGAGAAAAACATGAAAGGTTCCTATGGGCATTGTCTCTACTCTTCCTCTTCAGCAACTGGAAGAGGAGGAAAATGGTAGCCATATGCTTTGGGAAAATGGCAAAGAAAACTTCACACTGCAGTCAAGGGCTAAGACAGGGTTGCTTGAAATACAGAGACGAAGACAACTGAATACAAGAGCAGAGACATAAAAAAAACCAGGGGCATAGCCTTAGCAAAGCAGCAGGAAAGAGAAGGCATTCCTGCTGTTTTCCAGGCTCTTGTTGCTCCCTCTCCTGCTGAGTAGTGGCTTCCCTCTCCTGGAAGCAGTTCCTTCTCTTCCTACCCTCCTTCAAGAACTGCTTTTCTTTTCTGCTTTGAGTTCCCAAAATTCAGTTCTTTTCCTATGCAAGACCTATACAAGTTCATAGGTCTTTATTCTTCCATTTCCCTTTGCTCTTCTTTCTGCCTTTTAAGGAGTCTGACAGCTATGACACACAGTACAACTAGGTGCCAAGGAGAAAGAGAACACCAAAAGAAACAACACGGCTCATGTGCTGACAGTGCTAACAAAGATGTCTCTAGGACAAGGGCTGTGCAGCCTAAGGAAAACACCAGCAAAGCAGAACACAACATACAAAGGACATCTCATGCAGACACTGCAGAATATGGTATAGCACAAGGGACACAAAGATCAGTATCTGCATTTTTCAGAAACAACAGCAGACAAGAGGAGATTCAAGCAGTGTTAACTAACAAGTAGTTGAACCAGGAGAAGGTGGGAGGCCCTTCTGACCTGCAGTCCACACTTCTATCTATATTGAACTGCCTTCCTCAATTACCAGCTCTATTTCTCTCAGCACAAACAAGTGTTAGTTACCTGCATCATCTGAGACATGGTTTCATTGCCATAGTAGTGCAAAGAGCTATTTCTGTCAGTGAAGTCATACTTGAAGCCTGCCAGGTGGACTTCATGGCATATGTGAAATGCCAGTGTAATGGCAATTAGCCCCGTTGTTGGATGCTTGGGTTTCTGCAACAAAACATAATGAGAACACACACATATATACCTGGCAGCCTGATGGGAAGAGCAAACTTAAGAACAGAGAACAAGGGTAATCAGGCAGCCTTGGGTCTTCTACAGATGTTTGGTTTCACCGGCTGATCCCCTCCTGTCTCTAAAGAAATAAGGTACTGCCCCCACAGGTTTCCCATGACCAGGGTGTCTGTCATGTCAACCTTCCCTGGAATTCCTTGGTTTCTAGTGAGGGCTGAGCCCATAGTGTAGCCCTTCACTCCAGAGAAGCATCAGAAGTCTCCCCATTGCTCTGCTCAGCTTCTTTCATAAAACTGGACAGGCTTCACTACACTGGAAAACAATTTACAACTCCCTCAAATTTAATTGAATTATGAGATGTGCTCAGAAGTTGCTAGATGATGGAGACCCTGATGAACAGAACATGATATGACAAAATTTTCATAGCAACAAACTAAAAAAGCATGAAGGCTATGGCTACACAAATTTGACTGAATTTGCATTTCTTCAAAGCAGGGAAATTCCAGAAGAACTTTGCTTTAGACCTTCCCATGCTATCCCCATTAAAAGAAATATGATTTTAAATATAATTATTTCTCTGTACAATAAGTTCAGAAGCAAATGCAAGGTAAGATGAAGAGCACATCATAAACAGGTTTTAACTGAGCAAAATTAAGAGCACCTAACCAAAAGGTAGCATTTCTCACAAAAGCACTGAAGAACTCCATGCAACCATCTGCCCTATCTTGTGTTCAGATACATGACTCTTTAGTAGCAGCAGAGGCTAATATGATCTGGGGAGGTAAATGAGGCATGCTTTTTTAGAGAGATTAACTCATTCATTTGACCATGACGAAGCTAAGGTGAAAAGGTGTCCCCAGAAATAGACAAAACTTTCAGGCACCAATACCTTTCTTAGCTCAAGAAATATTTTTCTCAGAGACCAAATGAGCTATCATATGCTCTTAGTAGTGGCAGTCAAACCTCAAACTGAGCACAAAATCATGGGCTTTTTTTTGAACTCTGACCCTAAGACTCAGTTTGCCTCTGAAAAAGAAGCAGACAAACCAGTACTGGACAACTCTGCATAGAAAAGACAAAGGCACTCAATGTATTTCATTGTGACAACACTTTCTGTGACAACACAAAAAATCCCCAGGAAGAAGTTATTATTCTCAGCTCTTTAAAGCCTAACTGAAGTCACAGAAAGGAACGATCACCTTTTACAGAAAATTTTTTGGTACCTTTATGCAACTCTTTGAGTATTCCAGAAATATTATCTGCTTTAAATGCGCACTATGCCAAGGGCTCCTGCCAGTTAGCAAAATAACTTTCTGCCCTAGGGGCCCAACATCATAAATTTAGTGGTGACTCTGTTGCAACATCCATACTAAACAGGACCCCAAAACATGGCAGGAATGCTACACATCGGGATTAGTGCTATTTGGAAATACCAGGAATACCAGAGGGTGTAACTACCTCTGTTTACCTGTAGCTATCATAAAATTCACCTAAAAATATATAATTTAAAAGCAACTACTTTTAAACTGTACTATCATGCAATATACAGATATGCTTCACCTGCAATTAAATATTTTCAGCCTACTTAATGGGAATAAGCACAGCCCTGGAATGACACCACTACACTTTCTGAGTTTAGTGGTGCTGCAGGCAGAGGGGGATGAAGCACAGGATAGCGAAGGCAGCACCAGCTCTGCCCAGGGACAAGCAATGGTACAGAGAGCCTCAGTGTGAGACCTTCCTCTCACATAGCCCGTAGTGTGACCTGCTAAGCTTAACCAAGTTGTGCCAGGGCCACTGCAGATGTGCAGGCTCCCAGTCACAGAGGTGGGCATTACATTCTATGGCAATAAAGATGCAACTGCCTCTAAATACACATTTCGTTGCACAAAACTAGAAGAGACAAAAGGAAAAATGTACCTCCTTCTTAGGAAACCTTGTTGGGAAATGAAGCCACTCATAAGCAGTTTTCCTGGTGATGCTGGGATCAAGAATCCTGATTTGACTCGATTTGTATATCATATTCAGAGCTGGTTTCTTCCAAAAGCCCTTCACACTCTGTGACAGGCAAGTAAATACACATTTTTAACAACTGAAAACAGTTGAATTTAGTTTTGTAGCAACTCTAACCAGTGTAAACTCCAAGAGCATGAGGTTAAAGAAGAAGAAGTGCTAAGTTCAAAAACACCTGCTCTTGCAACAGGAAACACAGCTGTGGCCAGCTGGCTGGAAAACAGCATTGCAGAACAGTCCCTGATGGACAACATGTACCAACAATATGCCCTGGAGGCCATAAATGCTCAGTGTGTGCTGGCCACGTTAGTAAGAGCATAGACAGGCAGACAGAAGCTGCTATTAGTCTCAACTAGTTTGCACTGTCCCCTTTCTGCAGTCCTAAAAATGCTGTGTTAGACTCTTCTCTGTGCAGAAGAGTGTCAATCAGCAGATGGTCACTACAACAGCCAAGGGGCCAGAGCTCACAGCAAACAAAAAGGGTCTGAGCAGGCTGGATTTGTTCAGCCCATCTTCAACTATCTGGAAGGGGTTAACAAAGATGAGATCACACTCTTCTCAGAGGCACAGAGTGAAAGGACAAGGAGAAATTTTCTCCTGCAAGTGTGCTGAAGCACTGAAATGGAGTTTGTAGAAATAGTCTTGGAAATACTCAAAGTTTACTCAGACCTGAAAACCCAGTATGACTTTGAACCTGGCCCTTAATGAAAAAGACTCAAAAATATTCTGGACTTAAGACCTTCTGAGAGAGATCACTTTTAACATAATTCTGCAATTCCTGCAAGTATGCAGGGTAAAACAATTTGGGAAATGGCTGGAGCATGCATGTTAAAATATCAAACAACATTAGGAAGAGGATAAAAATACATTTCGCAGAGGTAAACTGCTCAGTGGTGAGGAACTGATCAAATATGTGCATTAGAAAGACGATAAAGCATTTACGGAAGAGGGATATTAACTACAAGGAGACTGACTACAAGGAGATCCAGAGCTCCTCACAGAATTCAAAATGTTCACAGAATGACTAGGTTAGAAGAGACCTTAAAGATCATCAAGTCCAACATGCCCTAACACCTCAACTAAACCACAGCAGTAAGTGCCTCCCTCTCAGCTGGGAGGACTTCGGTTAAAAGCAAATGTGTATTTCACACAAGAAATGTGTGGCAAGACAAGCCATGGCACATGAATAATTGAACTCACTATTTTCTGACCACCAAGTATCTCCCAAAGCCACTTCAAGTCCCGTGGTTTGAAGACGATGAGAACAACAGTGGTATTCGGGTCGTAGTGGATGGGATCTGAGAAGATAGATTCTGGATAAGAAAGGCGGAAAGTCGTCCTCCTCCCAACATCCTCTTCGTACCCTATCACAGGGCCATTATTCATTCTGCAGAGGACAGAGGCACAGAGACATCAGTGACTGCCCCACCCGTGTTCTTACTGTGCAGTGGCTGCCACACAAGTTATTAGTCTGCAGGACAGACACTGTGTCTGGGTACAGGAAATTTAGCAGCCCAGCATTTAGGTATCACATTACACAGCAAAGGAGTGAGCAATTATCAGGTGCATTCCCCCTCTACACTCAGAGGGATCGAGCACACACAGGAACATGGCCACAGTCGTTTGGAATAGAGTCACACAATTGCTTATTGTGTGTCACTCAAGCAGAAAGCAAGTCTTCTGATTTGGCTCCACCACACACACACTAGAGAAGGGCAGAGAGAGTACCTGGCCTTGGAGAATTACCTATTGCTCTGTGTACACAAAATGAAAAGGAGATAGCATTTACCTTATTATGACATCATACGAGTCAATTTTTTCCCCTAATGTCTTATTTCGAAGTACTCCTCCATTACCAACCACAATGCACCGTCGACAGGGAATGCTGTGGAACAAAGAGAAGTTTCAATATTTGTGACTTCCCTGGCTTCATATTATTAATGATACTTCTGCATGTTAACTGGCTTATTTTCTAAGTGAGACCCTGTATCTTTTGCAGCCCTTGGCCCCTACAAAGCAGATTCAATCCTGTACCATGTACTATGGCTGCTTAAAAAAAAAAAGGCACTATTTCAGGGACTGACAAAGTCAATAATTGACTTCTCTCTTGTGAAACTTTTTACACATCTCCTTTTTCTAATGGTCTGCTGTTTAAGATCATCTACCCAGTTTGTGATATGGGTGCTATTTGATAAATCATCTGCCACAGTTCTTCAAACTTGTCCCAGTCTGGAAAAGCTAACTCAGTATTAAGGTGCTTCTGCAGTATTATACAATTCCACACCTCCAAACAAACTAAAGCAGCAAAATTTATGTTCACTTTACAGGCCTATGGACTGTACATGTAAAAAATCTTAGCCCAATGACACACAACAGCTTTTCAAATGAATATGGCATGGATTCTTCTCCTTCTACTTAAAAGGTGCCATCAAAACACGTTTACATAAGTGACATGTGTGCTGTCATAATGTAAAAAGATGGATTCCTTGATTAAAGGTTGCATTCTCATATGATCAGATTCAAATTAGACAGCATTACTAAGCCTATAAAATACTATGTGCTAAAATATAAGATATTATACTGCATCAAATCAAAAGAGAAATTTTGAATTTATAATACATTTAGAGATAAAAAGCATGCAAAATAGTTATTACGGAGATGTTAAACTTGAAAGTTTAAGGGTAAGATTTTCAAAGTCACCACAGGTTTTTTCAGTTCATATTTAGCTTTGACCATCTTGTTTCAATGGTACTAAAATGTACTAAAAAAAAGGGGGGGGAGCACACAAATAGGCTTGCGGGTTTTTTCTTCAATATATTTTGTCTTTTTAGGGAAGGTTTAAATCAAACATGTAAGACTGTAAACTCCTTTCAGAATAAGCACATCATTTTTTGTTGTAGGAATGCCTCTTTGTTTAGAGCAAAAGCTATTCAATTTGGTTGCAGCAGGAACAATGAGAAAATATGAGTCGCTTCACAGTAACACCACACTCCTTTAGTTCTTTTTTCAAGTAAGAAAAAGGCTCTATGCCACTTCTTGCTCTAGGTTCAGGACACCAAAACTGTGTCCCAAAAACCACTATAACTTACATTGAATTCCCAGCATGGCACATCATGCAAACTAATTAATTTCTTTCTCCTCAAATAGTCCAACCTGTTTTTTCAGCTCAGAGTTATTATTCAACATCTATGAAAACAACTAGTTCCAGCCAAGACTGAGCAACATCCCAATGTACAAAGCAGTTGCCTCAATTTCCTACAGAATTAACAACCTCTGAAGAGATAGCTGCCTTTAAATATATATGTACGTATATGCATACACACACACACATATAAAACCAGTGCTCTAAGTGCAGCTTTTAGGGTTGGGTTACATGAAAAAAGCTAGCATACCTTTCTCTACTGTTTCCTGAACAGCTTAGTAGAAGGTAAGCATTCATAAAAAGACTTCCAGCTAATACCGTAACTCATGTGACCTGGTATCTTGAAAATCAGAAGGGTGAAAACCTGTTATACCATCCTGTCTGCAGTACGCTCACACCCTCTACACCCTTAATTCCCTTCCTTCCCTCCCCACCCTTAACTCCTTCTGACCATTCATTTTCCATTTTATTTTTCTATCTAGTTTGAAAGTATCTTAAGAAAGCAGGCTGATAAACATAAGCCTCTTACAATTTACAGCAAGAGTAAGAATGCAGAAGTTGCCATTTTCCTAAATTACACCTTGTTACTTACAGCTATAGCTTAGAGCTCAAAGTAAGAAAGGAAAAGAGAAAACCAGATAAAAAAATGTGATCAGTAAGTGATGAGAGTGGAGTGAGGGAGAGGGGCAAAAAGCACAAGATTAGCATATGGTTGTATCGTGTGTCCTGGCATTTACTGTGAGGAGGCACTGCTTTTTCTGTTCCTTGTAGATTATAACTTAAAGTAATTCCTTATTACATACCTTTCAACTTTTGGAAGAGGTGATTTAAGATACCTGTTCAGCAAGTTCATCTCTAGCAACTGAAATAATGCCTTCCACTCTGGTATACAATTAAGAGGTCTTTGCTTTCTCCTCTCTGTAGTCATGATGCAGCAGGACACAGTATAGGGAGGGCAAAATAAAATGTAACTTCAGAGCTGAGCAACTGAGGTTTGTTCAGCTACACAAGTTGTGTAGTTGTTCTCAAGTTAAATTCAACCTTTTTTCTCACTGATGAATGCAGACTAGATTTTGTTTATGACTAAGAGTTGACTAGTACTACTTGGACAGAAAACAGAGTGGAATTTGATTAAGTTTCTGAATTACAGTGCCCTTCATAAGATGCATACTCAAAAACAAAGTTATCACCTGCCATCAAATACCCAATAAAAATCTGAAATTAGTATTTGAAGTTTTGAAATGGGTAGTCAAGAATCAGATCAAATACGCCTGAAGAAGTGTACACAAGTACAGTCAAACAAATTAAAATAAACAGTAGTACTGGGCCCACTAACAACAATAAGCAGGGAGGGAAACTGTTTATGTTAAAAACCAGAGCATACTATCATAAAAAATGAACATATGACATAGAGATAAAAAATACTTAGCAAGGCTGAACTGCATTTAAAGGTTCTGAAGTTAAATAAACAGCAGATCACAGGTCAACACATGAATTTTCAGCAGACCGTTACTCCCAGGTATTTTAACAACCTCACTTCTTAAAATTTCTTTTTCCTGTTTTCAAATTGAACAACCCCAAACATTCAACCTTTCTCCAAGTCAATATATTGACAAGAAGAGAAATTAGTTTAGATATCCTTAAACTGCATCAGCTGTGCTACAAGTAAAATATAACAGACTGCAATATCTGGCTCTTCAGTAGCACAATATTTGTGACAGTGAAAAATATTAATACCTTGGCTGTACCAATAGCTGTAGGAAAGGTCTGAGTGACAAACAGATATGTCAGAGATCTACTAAGAATACAAACAGATCCCAATGCAAACACCATGGTAACTGATCTCCGATGTCTGCAGGTAGTAAGTCACTCAAACCACTGCCTTATCAGGTGGTGAATCTCAATCTCAAGGCCAGGCCTTGGATTATGTAGTTTGTTTCTATAGTGAAATGCTAAAAGAAACATTTTCCTAGTCTATAGAAGAAAAATATTGATAAATGGAAATGTAGCCTCTAAAGGTCAGAAGGTTTGCATCCTCCACATTCTACTGAAATACTATTTCAGTGGAAAAAGAAAAGATCTCAGACTCCACTCCTTCAAAACACCCCTGTAGTCACTTGAGGAATGCAAATTATTTCCTTTGAAGTTATTTTATGAAAGGAGGATGCAGAGGTCACATTTTGTTGACTCAGGCCTGTATACAATTAAGAACTGCATTTTTAAGAACTGTTGAGCTCAGAGACCTTAGAGCACTCAGCAAAGAACTGAAGTCACAATCGAACTGAAGTCAGTGATACTGTTCATTTCCAAACTCTTTGGGAGAGCCACACCTTTACAAAGTGAGAATTTGATCTTAGTTTGGAAGAAAAAAAACCCCAAAACTTTGTAGTTCACTGTGTATAGATTTACCTAAGTTGTACACAAATACACCTATATAAGCACCACAGACTTTGTGCTTATCTAGCCTAATATTTGTCTGCCTTAAAAAACTTTTATAGGGAAATCTGGTTTGTGTTCTGCCAAGAAGGCTGAATTGGACGACAGCATTACAGAGCTGCCTAATAATTCTGTATTACTGGAGAACGTTGTCAGGATTAATTCCTAAAGAGTTGCACTTTTAAAAGCCACTACATCTCAGTGAAATATATGTATAAAACTCTTCCCAGATACAGTGATTCATGCCCGAAGAGGGCTGTACACAAAATCTGATGGATCTAGAAAGAACATATTGTATGAAGTCATTGTCTGCTTGATTTGTTTATATTACTGCCTATTAAATAGTAATAGGTCTCATTTTGCTTCAGTACACTGAAGTATGCTTCATTTTATTAAAAGTAACATACTTCCCAGAACTACTAACCACATCTACATCTCAGAGGATCTACATTTAAAGGATGAATACCGATTTCCTCACTTTTCATCTACGGGACAAACATTTCCAAGGTACAAGCATCTCTGCTTTACAGCACAAACAATTAAGGTCCTGAACTTATGGTTTCAGGAAATTTCTAATGTAATGTTTGGCACTCTCTTCCCAACTGCAGACAAAAGAGCAGCTTCTGTCAGCCAATTCTGTATAAATTTACCCCACTATTACATTCCTGAAAGAAAATACAGAGTTTTACTTTTTCCCTTCCTTTTCTTAAGAGTAGACTTGAACATCCTAGAAGCAGACTAATTACAGAGAAAGGTGGGAGTACAGTAGGGGGGAAAAAAAGAAAAACTCTATTAAAACAAATCCTTAGGTCTGAACATATTCCACCCAAGTTTAATTAAACTGTGATCCTGACATTTGGCTTCAAGCAGCAATCTTTTATGATCTCTGTAATTAAAAAAACAAAAACAAGTACAGCCAAGCTCAGCATTACTTGCATTCACTCTATTAAGAAATGTGTATATTACTATCACATCTGGCAGGCTGTCAGCCCATTTGCTAGACTGCAAATCTAAGGAGTCATTTGCATCACACTTTGTAAACACAGGACTTTAGTCTACTTGCCAACCCTACCTGCAAAAAATCCCAACAAAAGCCAAACAAAAAGCAAGACACACAAACACAAAGGCCCTCCAAAACAAAACAAAATCTGGCAGACGTGGCTTCCAACAAGAGATTTAATCTAATTAAAGATTTATTCTAATTTAATCTATCTAATACATGGCAAGCAAGTTATCTAAGGCATTCTTCCTTCCATGCCACACCCTTGTTACTTCCAAAAGGACAGCCTTTCCTGTCTTCCTAGGTTTCCCTCATCCACAAGGAAAAGGAAATTGAGCGCAAGTAGGAACAAGGATGCACAGAAGCCAGCACATCAGAGGCACAAGCATACGCCCATGATTTGTTCTGCTTAGAAGCAGACACTGGTTTGCTTATCTCAAACATTCTCCATCTTACACTGAATTTGCAAGAGAAGGTCACATTCAATTTAAGTATGAAAAGATACTACAGGAAGATGGGACTGCATTCAGCTGGAGAATTTCTAAAACATTTATAAAAGGAAATTTCTAAGTTAAAGCTCTCTCAGAGAGTAATTTTTCTTGCATGCTGATACTACTGAAGTGTAAAATCAAGCCTACTGAAACCTTGGAATCAGCTCCGCACTGCTTGGACCCTGTAAATCTGCTCTAACTACGTGTCTTGACTAATTTGAGCAATTCAGGATAACCTCACAGACATTCCTTTTCAGGTAAGTACTGAATATTAAAAATGCCACTAACAGAAACAGCGGCAAATAAACCATCTCACCTGTCTTCTTCACTGGAAAGGCCACAGTTCTGCAGTCTTGAAAGGGCTAAACGAAAAAATTGCTCTAAAAAGCACATATAAACAAGATTAATGAAAACACTCAGTACTTGCAACACAAAAATATGCATGCCACCCTGACCACAATGTTTTTAAGCACAGCAGTACACTGTGCATAAAAACATCAAAGTCAGAACACTTGTAACTTAGTGCCACAGATCAACCAATGATGCCAAAGAAGCCGAGGTCTATCACAGCTCCACTGTGAGTTTTTTCTGCCTCAAAATACAAAATAGCATGAAATCTCTGTTTAAAAAATCATCTTAGTTACAGTAAACAAGAACTGGAAGAATTTCCAAAATCCACATCCTAACTCACTTTGGTTTTTCTTCTACCTACCTTCAGGTGGGTAGACTCAAGTGGGTCCATACAGCCAGGGATAGTAATAGCATTATGTATCTTAGGAGAAGACATCAATCAATGTGGCAAAGCTAGACAGACACCTTCCCATCCCAGCCCACCCCTGGTGGGCAGGCTCCTGCTGGACACTTAATTTGCCTCAGAGGAGAAATCCACTCATTCCCAAATGTAGTTTTCCTCACTGTAACCCCAAAAGTGCAGGAAAATGCACCATCACTGTTACCACTGATGGAGAGCAAATCAAAAGTTGAAAGCCCAGATTAGGAAGGTGCACTGTTAGTGTTAGAAACCCTGAAATTTAAGACATTACAACCCTTTCCAAAAGGGTGGCTAAGACTCTTACGGTGTCAGCCCTATTTATACCAGCCTGACCAACATAGGCAGTGGGAACGTGCCAGCAAACCTTTCGACAGGTCCAGCAGCAAGGCAGTGTCACCAATTCCCCCCTGTGGCCCCTTCCACAGCAGGAGCAGCCAGCTCAGTGTCATGGTTTAGCCCCAGATGGCTGTTAAGTGCCACACAGCCACTGAGTCTCCACCATCTGACAAGTAGGAGGATCAGAAAAGCTAGCATTTGTATGGAAAAGGAATGAGAAACGGGAATAAAACCCAAGAAAAACAAGTGATGCAGAATACAATTGCTCACCACCTACTGACTGATGCCAGTTCCCAGGCAGCTACCAGCCACTCCTGTTTAAGTATTGACATGTCATATGGCATAGAATAGCCATTTTCCAGCTGGGGTCAATTGTCCTGGCAATCCTACCCTCAGCTTCTTGTGCACCTGCTCACTGACAGACCACAGGAAACTGAAACATCCTTGACTCAGAGTAAGCACTACTTAAAACATCCATGTGTTGTCAATATTATTCTCATGCTGAATCCCAAACACAGCACTGTACCACCTACTAAGAAGAAAATAAACTATTCCAGTCAAAACCAGGACAGTAAAATGAAAACTTCACTTATGTAACCACCCAAACCTGAGGACTTCTGCCTCAGTAGGACTCTGAGTTCCAACCAGTTTAGGTGTTTTGACTGATGCCCATCACACTGACTCAGTATTTCCCCTAGCAAAGCATAGCTGAGTATCTCCAGACCACATACAAACAGAAGGAAGCTGAATAAGGTCCACTCTTCCTCACTCACACATTTTTGGAACTTCTCTGCTAAGAGGGGCAACCCCAACCCAGTGTTTTACTTGCTAAAACCAGGAAAGTGTCAGGTCAGAGGGACTGAACAAAACCATTAAGACACTGCTAGACACCCCATCAGTGCACAGGAAAGATCATGGCCACAGATTCAGGTGGCTTTACAAACCATTTAGGTATTTCTGATTAAAAATAAGGGAAATACATGGGAAATACAAACCTGCTCTCTTTATTCCATAAGGTAGTTCAAACTTATTGCTCCCTTGGAACTCTGCCACTCTGATAAAATCATTAGCGCACAGGAATGGGTATATTTTGTCAACACTGATGAAGGAAAAAAGGAAGAAGTTTTAAAATCGCATGATGTACCTGCATAAGCCAGTAAGTCATGCAAGTCCTTTGTAAAAAGCTCTCTTTATACTACTATTACCATTTTTATCATATTATCACCCATTTTTAAAAGAAAAAAATCCACGAGCACAGGGAATGCAAACAGATGACTGAAAAGAGTAAGATCTTATAGCAGAAAATAGAGGCAAAGAGTGAGATAAAAAGACTTGTCTATTTGTACAATTTATATAGACTCATTAAAATTGTGTGGCTGAAAGCTTGCACCACAAGACCACATATTTAAGAGAAGACATAACCCAAGAAGACAGTGAATAATTTCAGGTTTGAAAATAACAGAAGTAGAAAGGAAAATTAAGAGTTATTATTGTACATGGCAATTGAATAAATAAGAACAGAGTTTGAAGCAAGGTGTTTTAAATTGAGAATACCATCTCCTGGTTTGAGCTGCACTCCTATTCCAAACAGGTGACACTATATGACTGTGTTGACAGTAACAAGTTGTTTGGGGCAACACGGGTGTATCTAAGCAGCAAAAAAGTATGGAGTTCTCATGTCCACATTACATGCACCTTGGGTATTTTATATTCTGTACTAACTCTAGAAGGGTCCCAGCCCTTAGCTGCACCACATGGGCTACGCTACTGCAGTGCATCTTCTGGCTTAAGCAGATGTCTGAAAAGATCCCAGTGCATTCACACCAGGGCCACCCTGGGATGAGAAGCACGGTGTGTGGGGATCACAATGACATTTGCCTCAAAAGCACATTCTTCCTGAAAACTACAGCATGATGGCATTATACCTTGTAAGTGTCAAGCTAAAAAGAATGGGTGACTTTTTTGTTGAAAGACAGGAACCACAGAAAAGGGTCTTTCATAGCACAGAAGGCACTCCTATTGCCTTAGTGCCAAGTCCACCCCAATGAGTAACAGCAGACACAAACATGTCACATGCTATCATGCCCTTGGCTTCACCTTTGAATTAACTGAACGCGCGCTCAGTGTACTGGCTGACTTTGTAATGATCCTGCATATTAGGTCGTAGATTAAAATGTTAACACAGAAGTATACAGTCATCAGAAAACCTAATGTTAATCATAAAAAGCCCCAGTCAGCACATGACTTGTTTGTCCACTAAGAACATAAATAGCTGTTAAGAAAACCTTCTTTCAGTTTCCCAAATCAAAGCTAATTTAAGCTCTATGTATTAATAAGATACTGACAGTAAAAAGGGAAAAGAACCCCAAAACCAAAACACTACAGCTCACACACCAAGAAACGGGCCATAGCTTAACTAAGCAAGACCAATTAGCTTTGAGACACGATGCACTAAATATCCATATTAAATTTAGTAACGTGCTCAGAAACAGCTGCTAAGCTTAGACATAATAAATAATTTACCTACTGAGAAAAGATCCTCAATTCTAGCTTTTCTAGCTCTGGTTCCTTTCCAATAAATAATTCTGCAAGGTTAGAAATCCTTTCAACCTCCCAGGCTATTACCGAAGTGCACAGAACAGATCTTCAGCTCATGCAAACCGTCTCTATAAAGAAGTTACAGAAATGCGTGAGACTGTCCTAGCTGTGCACATACCTTCTTCTTGCTGTGTACCTCTGAGCCCATTCCTGCTCCTCTGCTGAACACTACAGCTACCCTGCTGCACCCAACATGCAGACAGTCTGGACACAATCCAAGGGAATTAGGATCACCTCACCAGACCAAGAGCAAACAAAACTCAAAGGCTCGAAGTCTGCTTTGGGTGGCACAAACTTTACAGGCTTCTATGTGCTTCAAACCCACAAAAGCACTAAAACTATAGCCACATTTTCTTATATACAAAAAGCACCAGGGAGAAAAAAGGCCACAGTGTCTTTCTACAGACGTTTAAGACTCCTTCAACCAGTTCTTGGTCTAATCTTTGCAAGCTTTCTCAGGGCACTACTCAATGTTCACTCCAAAATGCGTAAATAGCCCAGTTCTACCTCAATCAGCACAGCCATTCCTTCCCCATCTCAATTCTCATGGAAGACTCACCCCAGTAAAGATTCAAATGCTGGTTTCAGGAAACAAGTGTCCAATGCATTCCTCCTCTCTACAGCCGTAGGCGGCAGCCTGCAAAAAACCAATTCCAAATAAATAGCAAGACCAGGAATGGGTAGCACAAACAAGGTAAAGGAAGTTGGACAAATCAAATTAGTAAAAGCTGACTACTGAGTTAAGATCACACTAAGATTTCATTACTCCCTCCCCCTGTGATAGAGATGAAACTTTCTCATTGCAGCACAATTACTTTTACTAGCAAAGGCTTTTATCTCACAGTGCTGCTCCAAGGGAAGCTGTGACCTCCCTCACTCAGCAAGTGTCAAAAGCAGGCATAATCAGAAGTGAGAACTGAGGCCCACCTCCAGAGAAGAAGGGCTCCTGCACTCAATCACCCCTGCAGCCTGATAGCATCCCCATAACTCCTCAGGGAGGAGACAAAGTCTTGTTTGGAGAAGGAAATTGGGCACTTTAAGGAAAATTATATTCTTTATATTCTTTGGGGTAAGACATTCCACCCATAATAAGGTTAAGACTCACATTTCTAAGCACATTCCTGACTTGGAGATTTAGCCCATTTAATCACAAATATGAAGCCCAGAAGGGAAGGTAAAGTTCAGTGTGAGCAACATGTGCCGCTGGATTGCATTAAGGACAGAAGGATGAAACCACCACATCAGAACCACGAGCCAAAGAGACCATTAAGGTTAACTGATTTTGGTAACCTCAAGTTCTTATGGTAACCTCAAGTTCTTATGTGAATACTGATGCTGAGAAAGCACCCTGTGATACCTATCAGCTGGCCACCTTGCTGCTTTCCAGCATCACAGATGGCATTTTGCAGCATACCTTCACAGAGAAGAGAGGTTTGCTTTCCAGTTTAAGCATAGGTGCTCATTAGTCCCACAAATCTAACTTCAAGAAGTCACAAGCACAAGAGCTGCCTATATATACACTCGAATACAACAACTGAAACACACTTCTGGTTTAATAAGTTTTAAGGAAGGAAGTTGCCCTCCAAGCTGTGCTAACTTTGTTCAGGTATAATTCAGAATTGCACAGATTTGAAAATTGTAAGCCAATGTCCTTCCAACAATTCACTGCTTGTTAGAGACAGTTATTCAAAATGGCCATAAAAATTAAACAAACACTGGAAACATAACATGGACAAATTACTTTTTGATAAACACCTTACCACTGTGTTTATAACAGGAACAGCCACTGGATGCAACTGTACAACTGAGCAGGGAGCCTATCGAAAAAGGCTACAGATTTTAGCCTCAATCCCTCCCACCTATCCAAAACCAAAAAAAAAAAACAAACCAAAAAAACAACCCCACCACAAAAATACTCAACTGCTGAACTTACTGATTGTAACTGATTGTAACTCCACTAGTCACATAGGAAGGAGAAGCCCTCACAGAGGAAGTCTGTCCATAAAAGCTAATCCTGCAAAAAGGGAAATGTCACAACACTGTGGTCTGCTGTAAATAGAAACCACAACGGAAAGCTATTTGTATCAATTGTACACCATAAACAAGATAAAGGGAGCACATTAACTACTTTTAAAAATTATCACTTATCTTCATAACAGTCTGGTCAGTCCTGGTCACAGCTGTGCAAAGACCAATGGAAACTCAACTTCTTCAAGTAAGTCTCCCAAATTTTAGGTACCAAGCCACCCGTCCTGTGAGCCTGGAGACAGTGACGCCTCACTGCCCTCAAGGGCTGCTGCTGGGCCTCAACAAATCTCAGTTTTCCAAGAGGTGCCCCCTGCACCTGCAGTTATTCCCAGGTGTGGAAAAGGCCTCCCCCACATCACTTATCAGACATTTAATAGAACAAACTAACACTAAACCCACATGGGGTGGAGGGAGATGTGGACACCTTATCTCTGTACTTCATGTAACTCCTCACCTGAAGACCTATTTTCATGAACCTCAGAGGGGCTCCCTACCACTGAGGTCCTGACCTCTCCATACAACCAGGCTCAAATTAATTACTAGGTTTGAAAGTGACACAAGAAAACAGGTGACAGGACAAAACAATCATACCAATTTCCTCAGAATACCAAAAGATCTCAACCACAAAACACACACACACAGAGTAATCACTTACAATGATTACTAGTAACACTCATGGAGCAACACAAGAATTCACAGACACATCTCTCATACAGCCATAAGGTGTCTGCGTTCTAAATGAACAAAGCATCACCATACCAGTAGAAGTTATTTCTCCACAGATTTCCATGCAGGATACCATACATAACAGCAGCAGCCAGGATAAAAACCAGAAGAATTCGTTTCATGACTGATAAACCTGAAATGTAAAAAAAACCAAGAAACTGAAACACATGATGAACTAATGCATGAATTTTCTCTAAAGCATCTGGAAACTTACAAAAGAGAAGTTATTGTCATTACAGACATTCTCTACCACCAGAAGTCTGACAGGTGATCCCTCCACTTTGGTTTCTCACATAAAGACCCGGTGCCAGGAGCTGCATGCTGCTTTGCACCTACCCTGTGTGTGTTCTCTGCATAGAAGCATGGATTCACTCTAGGTTCTATCTGAGGCCATGAGAGTAGAACTCTTCTGTCCACTGGCAGCCCAAAGAAACCAGCTGGCCTTTAGCAGTACCTGTGCTTCTCCGGTTTCTTGTGCCACACACCATCAGTTTCCATAATTACGCAGTAAAACCAGCATTGGCACAGTGCAGGAGGCAGATAGGCTGATGCTGATGAAACAGAACACGGCATGAGCTGCCACAAATTTCTACTGCCTTTTTTAGGGTCACTGAGTGTTCTTAAAATCCAGTTTTGGCATTTAAAGCTGCACTGAAACTATCTGCTTATGCCTGCACAGTCTTCAGCTACTGACCCAAGCCAAACTTCACTGCTCAAGCAACAGAAAAATGTTATTTTCACACATTGCAAAGTGAGGAAGAAAAGTTAGGATCCCATGTGTTGAACTTATGGAGATACATCAGAAAAAGGGTCCATTTTTCAAACAGAGTTTTTGCCTCATCACACACTCTAGCAAAAGAAAAAGAGAAATATCAGAAACACAGATCTGGCAAGACAGACTCAAGGAAAATCAAGTCCTGTATTGCTCACATCTTAAACAGTGAGCAGCCTTTTCAGTAGCTATGAATGAACTGCTGTTGCTTAATCTTGAGAAAGTCCAAAATAGCCATTCCGGCCACAAGTTACCATGGAAATTTACTTGACAGGTACAGCCTCCTACTATTCCACTTCTCTCCTAACAGCGTCGTCATTACTTCACTTGAGTGCAACAAGCCACTACTTCCTTATTCTTCTCCACTCGTATCTTGCACCAGAATTTAGTTGTAGAATTAGAGATGTGGTTTTATAACAGTACCTACCAGTAACAAAGCCATGCAATGAACCAGGCAGAATTTCTCAATCTTAAGTATATCCTACAGGCTATCCTGCTCTGTTCTGGAGGAAATACCTCACAGGCTGCAGCTGTTGCAATTCCAACCTTTCAACTGCCTTTGGAAAGTAGCACTGCCACTTTTCAGCTCCAATTCCCTTGACTCTACTTGAAGGATCGTTGCAAATTTGTCTTGACAGTCACTCTCAACTTCTAGAGCCATCTCTAAGTTTTTGCAGGAATTTAGTAAGAGTTTTTCCTTAAAACTCCAAATATAGAGGAAAACTCACCTACTGGGTTCACTCATGTGTCATTAACAGCAACTGGCTCACAATCTCAAGTGCCATGACAAGACACATACAGGACAAGTGAGGGACCAGGCCCAGCTGCATGGGTTTATGAAAGGCAGGTCTGGCTTGACCAACTTCATCTCCTTGTATGACAGGGTACCCTGCACAGAGGATGAGGGAAAGGCTGTGTATGCTGGGTACCAAATCCTTCGTAAAGCCTTAGAGAGCATTTCCCACAGCATTCTCCTGGACAAACTGGCTGCTCGTGGTTTGAATTGCTATGCCCTCCACTGGGGAAAAAGCTGGCTGGTTAAGCCCAAACACAGGTGGGGAACAGAGTCACATCCAACTGGCAGCCAGTGGGGTTTCCCAGGACTCAGTCCTCTTTAATATTTTTAAAGAAAATATATGGTCTGGACAAGGGGACTGATTGATTGTCACTTTGCAGGTAACACCAAGCTGAGTGGGAGTGTTCATCTGCTGGAGTGCAGGAAGGCTCTGCAGAATGATCTGGACAGGCTGGATCAATGTGCCAAGGCCAATTGGAGGAGGTTCAACATGGCCAAGTTGAACTCCTCTGTCTGGGTCACAACAACCTCAAGCAGCACTACAGGCTAGGGGAAGAGTGGTTGGAAGGCTGTCTGACAGAAAAGAACCTGGGAGTGCTGGTCAGCATTGGCTGAACATGAGCCAGTGTGTGCCCACACAGCCAAGAAGGCCAATGACATCCTGGCCTGGATGAGCAAGTGTGGCCAGTGAGATGAGGGAAGATATCACTTCCTCCTCTGTTCTCAGGACTGGTAAGGCCCCACCCTGAACCCTCTGTTCAGTTTTGGGCCCCTGACTGCAAGACAGAGACTGAGGTGCTGAAGCAAGTCCAGAGAAGGACAAAGCGGGTGACGTGTCTAGAGAAGCAGCAGCTCAGTGGGGACCCTGTCACTCTCTACATCACCTGAAATGGATTTGTAGCAAGGTGGGGCTAGTCTCTTCTCCCAGGCAGCAAGTGACAGGACAAGCAGAAACAGCCTCAAGTTGCAGCAGCAGACATTTAAATTAGGTATGAGGGGAAAAAAAAATTCTGAAGGGCTTGTCAAGCACTGAACAAGTCTGCCTAGGGAAGTGGTTGAGTCCCCATTTCTGAAGGTATTTAAAAAATGTCTAGGCATGACACTTGAGGACATGTTTGAGTGGTGGATCTGGCAGTACAGGGCTAATGGTTGCACTCCCTGATCTTTTCCAACCTATGTGATTCTATTATTTACTTGAGAAAGACTGCACTCTCTAGTAGCTCTTTTCCTTTCACTATTAGCATTTTTACCTCATTCTGCTTTGAAAAGGTTTGCCAAAACATCCCACTAAAGTGTTTAGCCTTACTTCCTAATTCAATCAATGAAAACTTCAGCTAAACAGAACATAACAAACTAGCTGTTTAGATAAAGTTGCTAAACTAGCAACTGATTAAATTGCTGATTTTCCAACTTCAGTGTAAGAAAGAACCTTGCTGAAGTCAGACCAAGCTACAAAACAGAAGACAAGGAAAAGCAGGCCATAAAATATCTACTAAAACCCAGAAATATTATTCATAATGCTATTTTACACAGAGGGAAAAAAAGTGTTCCACTTGCAAAGTATTTACAAAGATATTCATACAGCCTGGATTGAAAAAATCATTAAAACACGAGAATAGAAGTCAGCATCATTCTTCAAACAGGATCATAAGGGAGCTGTAACATCTTGCTGTGTTTTATGTAAGATACTCAGCCTGGCACAGATGTGAAAATGGGTCCACCCCAGCTCCAAACAACCAATCAATTAGAGTGTACCTAACACATCCCTTAGACACATCAAATGGTCTTTAATTATGTAAGTATCTTGTCACCATCCCATGCCCCAGTGCCTGGCTTCATTCTGTGTTTGAGAGAAAGTTCTGTAGCCAAGAAAGTCTTCACTAAGAAGACTGTTTTTCTTAATCTGGTTTAGTAAACAGATCCATTGCTTTGTTTATAGAAGAAATTATTCTGGGAGTATATTTAATGATGACAGCATCTTCAAGCTCTTCCTCCCTATTTTAAAACAGCTGAATGCTGCAGAAAGTTAATTAAAGGGAAACAAACTCCTACAATGCAAATATTGCACTAGAAAATTTCCATAGTTGGAGACGCAAGAAAATAGGGAATTGAGAAGACACAGTTCAGATGGAAAACAGCAGTTCCATTTCACTTTATTCATTTCAACACAAGAGCCAGCAGATTGATTTAAGCCCATCAACCCAAGTGACACAGGCCATGGTTCCCTCCCATAGGTCGGTGTCAATCAGAGTTAAACAAAATAAGGAAGACAAAGCTGGAACTCAACTTCAATTTCCTCCTCTTTCTTAAAACCCTGCAGGGATCTACACAATGAAAGGAACAAGGAACCCAGTATGACCATGCCTGGTGATCATGGTGTCAGCTGGTCAATTTTCTAAAAGCAACCAATGGGATATGGAAGTGCTGCAAATCATGCATGGGCGTTTTTTTAACAGTAATCTAAGCTAACTTCTATGGGTCAACTTCTCACCCCCCACAGAGGACAGAGTTACAATTACAGAATTAGGCAAGACTGACTCTGTTATGGTATTAAGACAACCTCAGAGATCAGCCTGCACCTCCCACTGTCAGATTCCCCCAAGCTCCCATCAACCCACCAGAAAAACTCATTTGGGTATGTGATCTATTAACTATATAAGACCTAGGGCTAATATTTTCTTCCCTTGATGGAAGCAGGGAACCCCCATTCTTGTCAGAGGCAAATCATTACTTAAAATTAGTTTTTATTCTAGTACAGTGTGGTATCTGCTATGAGCCACTATATCAGACCCTCTGTTTATCTTTTAACTTACTCTTGCAGTCAATGCAGTGATACCACAGAACGTACCCTGCAGGAATCTACAGCTGTTGGGCCAGGCAGTCAAATGACCACACTACCATCACCCTTCTTTCATAACGCTCATAAGCCTTCCTTTCTTCCGTAAAAATTACTAGTGTTATAGCACAATGAACGAAGCTTTTCCATCTGCCCTACTTATTTTGTAAAGTACCTCTGACTACTACTGAAGTTAAGGTAGTAAGTATTTAACTATAAAGTGGATACTACTAAATTAAATACTAGGCAGCTTAAAACAATCTTAGCTCCATAAACTGTCCCAGGACAATGTCAGTTCTTTGCTGGTGCCATTAAGTGTCAGCCTGAAAATTTCAGCTCATTGGGACCTCAGATGCCTAGCCCTTGTAGCTGTGGGGGTGGAAGTAAGCTTGAAAATATGCTTTGAGCAGACCTTGAAATTTAAAGGGACAGCACAAAAAGCACATAAAAACCTAATAAAGGTTTAGAAAGAAACATCAGAATTTTTAAGATGTAGTCAGTATTTTGTGGGTTTGAGCTTGTGACCTGCAGCACTGTTTCCTTTTGGTCAGGATGTAGCACATGCCTGGTGAAACAGCCATGCAGCAAAAAAACAATCGAGGAAGGAGCTCTCACATCATCATCTTTCTCAAGCTGTAAAACACGAGCACATTATGGCACAGAAGTACTTCTTCTGCCAAATCTAAGCACCATTCATCTTTTCACACTATTCCCTTTTCCAGTTCTTGC